CTTGAAGTCTCCTTATTTTGTTTTATACCGAAGTGGCCGCGCAGGCAGAAGCCGAAATACCAGGGCACCGTGGCTGCCATGAGGAGCTTAAAGAAACTCTGTTATTCATATTTATGAACTGCCTGAGGTTAGTAGAACTGGGAAATGGCTCAGGCTAATTTATCATAATATAGATATACAGGTAACACAATGTATGATATAATGAGAGTGATTGTCTCCAGTTTTGTTAGGGATAAACGTACAATTATCGGTAGTGCAACAATAAAATGGATTTAAAATTGGGGTCCACCATTTTGCTGGTTATGTGTTCAATTATGACGTCTACGGAAAAATGCACTCCCAAAATTGGCATTGTGAGATTTGGTGTGATAATATCAGGGGTGTCATTATAAAAGAAAGGATATAAGGATATAAACCACTAAGAATGACAAGTAAACAATGTAATTTGAAAAAAGCTACCGTGGTAGCCCTGGCGTCAGTAAAGTTGCATGATTTATGTGATGGACTGATATTGATATGCACAAATATTTTTGGTTTCTATTTTTTACCCCTTCTGTGTTTTTAAGAAAATATGGCCTTCAAATGTCACTATAAAAAACATTTTGATACACAAATTTACAATCTGAAATTGCCATATTTATCCTGAAAATATAAATATATGTAAAAGTTGCATCATTTTCTTGCGAGATTAAATGTTATGACCTGTTTAATGCAATGAATATTAATTTAATTTTATTATTAGCAGTGGTTTTCAGAGTAAACTAAAACACGTACATGACGATGTAATGTAAAGGTTATAAAAATTACTTTTTCTTATTTATCTAACCCAGTGATACTTTATAGACTAAGCTCCAACGACACTCGACCCTACGTCATCGCGAATTTGGATAAAAAAGGTATCAACTGTTATTATCCTTAATTCATTACTTAAAAATTGTAAAATTGGAGTAATTGTGATATAATTTTGACCGACATTCCAAGCAAAAAGCGGCTGGTAACAATGGTAATGTGCATTGTTGCGGCAGTGTTACCATAGATAAGATTTCTAGGTCAGTTGTGAAGGAAGCATAATATTTGTTTTTGCTTCAAACATCTGAGTTTTTGGCATATAGTGTAATCATAGAGATTGCAACAGTAAAACAACCAGATCAAAATTAACAATGTTTTGTTAACAACACCCGTAAGAGCCGGTGTTCCTCAGGGTTCGGTCTTAGGACCAATCCTTCATTCACCTTATATAGGAAACAAATTCAAAGATTCGCATTCATGTCAAAATGTTCGCTGAATCCCTTCCTGACTTATGCCAACCAATATTCACTAATCTGTCTCTAAGAGAAAGCAGCAGTCGTGTTGCGAAACATACACTTCATTCAACAGAACGATTATAGAAAACGTTATTATCAGATGAATAAGACAATTGACAACGTAGCAATGAAACAAGACAATTTTGTATCACAGTAGATTATACAGGGTGTCCGCAAAGTTCGGGTTTACCTTTTCAGACACAACTACGCTTGATATAGCAAAGCTGACGTGTGGTGAAACGTGAGCGAACAAGTAAAAAAAAAATTTAAAAGTACTCATTGTTCAGTTGAATTAAAATTCCAAGTACGGCTCTGTCATAGCGTATTTACATCGTAGTCGTACATCGTATAACTGTTCGCTGGCGCTGGAGCTGTGGAAGTGATCGAGGGATAGGACCGGCTTCGGTTTGGTTCAGGTTTGATCGAGTTTGCGGGATCCAATATCTTGGTTGTTTTAAGACATTGGTGTATATGCTACTAAGGAAATCCGCTTATTTTCTCAAGATGTACACGTCGTGTAAAGGAAAACACCAACTTTGCGGACACCCTGTATACTTCCTTTGCAACTGACCTATAAATCGTGTCCATAGTGACTCTGCGGCAACAGTGCACATCACCATTGTTACCAGATGCTTTTTGCTTGAAATGTCGGTCAAAATTATATATCACAATTACGCGAATTTTACGACTTTTAAATGATTAATTAGTGATCTTAATAACAATATGCCCATCCGACATTAGCTTCACTTTGATACCATTTTTATCCAAATCCGCGATGACGTGGGGATCGAGTGTCGTTGGAGCTTAAACTATTTATAGTCACTAACGAAACTGAAACTGCTATGTAAACCAAATTTTGAATGCATTTGAGTTTATTTGATAACCACTGTATTGTATACCACTCTCAAAAATATATGTAATAAGAGATTTTTTACGTTTTTATAACCCCTGAATGTTGGCATCACTGTTACATGTAAATTTGTATTAACTTTATTGGAAATTTTATAAAATTTGTTTTTATTTTTAAAACATTTCATGGTTATTGAATTTTTATGTGTATATACAGGGTGGTAGATCGTTGCGGCTAATGAAACAATGGTGTGTGGTTAAGCTTAAATACTGTAAAAGTGAAATCAGTTGTTACTGGACGGGTCTAACCAGCCTATAGTTCCAAATATGATACTGAGACGATATATGTTCAGTTCACTTAAAGTGTATAAAATGGAAAACTAATTTGGCTTATATATGCATGGGTTAAATGTTCATAATCATTTCCAACCCTCTGTATATGGATGTTATATTAATGACAATTTCTTTGGAATCACTGCTCTTAACAAAAAATCCACCCATTTGATAGTTTTTATGTGCGAAAATTACGGTCAATTAAGTCATTGTTTGTATCATTCTTGTACTTAATTTTTTCTAAGAAAACGATTTTCATCAAGTAGTATTTTTCTATCATTGTTCCTCTTTCTCCAAAATACCACATTCTCCTTTAAATTTAGGTGTTATTTTGTAAATCTTTCCCTTAGTATTATATTCTTCATAGTGAATACATCCATTTTTATTTTTTGTAAGTGAACAATAGACATTTGTATTTTATTTTTTATTTATTTTTTGTTCTAATGTGCCTCAGATAATTGTAAAATAAACTTATTTAATAAAAATGTGTTACCTCTATTTGTCTAAACTCCTTGAAGAAGTAGTGAGTAAACTAGACCATAGCGCCACTCCATCATATACCTACACTGAATAATGATCTTAAACAGTGTTTGAATTTGAAAATGTTTAAGGTGAAATTAAAACATCACTTTATGAATACTCGGAATGCATAGTGATGTATTTTTAATTTTAACAGACAAGAATGTAAAATTACAGAAAATGGACCAAAAAAAAATTGTCAACGAATAATTATACAAAATTGACATTGCAGCATTAATGCGAACTAAATCTTTAACAAACAAAACAAAAAAATCATTTACCAGAAAGTCTGCAATTTTAAAATTTAGTTTTTATGAAAATAATGAGTTTTATCAGGGCTTCTTACATGGCCATCTTCTTGAGAAGCTTTAGAATGTCACCCGAGTGAAAAGTGGCCAGTTTAAAAAATTATCCAACCATCAAAAATTAGCTTTTAAGCACTATCCAAATATCTTTTTCTGTGACGGGAAAACAATTTGGCATTTTATTTATGTTGACAGGTAACTTTTTTGAAATTACCCTTTTCCCCGGGAATAAAATGAGTACTTTTTTCCCCGATATTGAATAAACGATTTAGCGGACTATAATCAAATTCAAGCGGATAACCAAATGGAAATGGTATTTACCATTTTGGGTTGGTATTTACCAATCCGTTCAAGCGAGTGTAGTTATCAGTTTGGTTATAAGATCCGTGACGTCACGAATCAGCTGTTATATGTCATAGTTATCACCGCAAAATTGTGGTATTTACCCAACTCAAGAGTAGTTTTATATTCCTGGTTATTATTTGAAATGTGACAAGTTAGAATTTTGCCGGGTATTGGATATGGTTATTGTACTTCAGCTTCATTTTTGAGAAAAATGATACAGGCTGACTTCACTTTTACCATAAAGTGGAGCACCTTATTAGTTATACTCATTACGGTTGTTGGAGACACTTTAAATGTAGTTCCTATGCTTAACAAAGTATCCTGTGTAGCCATATACCACAAGAATATTAAAATATGGCCATATAAACTCACTAGATGATATCCATCTGTATACGGTTTTGCTAATTTCTTTTTTCATCATTTCTGCTGAATCAATAAATGTTTTCTTTGACATGTGGAAAAGTTTAGAGAATTGAAAGTTATCATAGCTACAAAGCCATGGTTCCATCATTAAAAAAAAAATCTGAGAAAAACATTTCTCCCATGAATATTATGAAAGGTTTCTTATTTAAACTTTCCATATACAGTTGTAGACGAAAAAGCACCGATTATTAAGTGATAATAAAAATAATCAGAGATTATATACGCGTTTTTCTAAAATAAACAACTTGCAACAAAACCGCGGTTAAAACCAACGCGTTCAAGCGATTCGTGTAACTGACGTCATCAACCCGTGTGTCATCTTGAACCAAATTATAACCGCGGCACATAACACAGAAATTTTGGTTATTCGCTTGGATTTGATTAATAATTTTTGTGAGGCTACTTTGGCTACTTCTGCTAATTCCGGTGGAGTCAAAGAAAACTTTGAATCAGATATTTTTAACTTTATAGTATTAAAAATAACTTCTAAACAACCACAAAGTTCACATTTTTTAAATCAAATCACAAAATTAAATTGACAGCTGTTTGGTTACTTTAAAAGTTTCCTTATCAACGCAGATCTAATTGTCGTTATAAATACACATAGCCTACTAAATTCAAATTTCACATGGATAATTTTCTGACTTGAATATTGTATTAATATAATTTATCAATATTAAATCGTCGTTTTTCCCGTCACAGAAAAAAATTGTGTATGAGCGAAAGGCGTCTCTAATAATAATTTTGACCCAATGTGTGCTCAGCAACTGAGTGGAAACGCGCAACACGAGTTAAATGGCACGGTCCCACTTTACATTGGATTCCACAGAGCCGCAAAATCATAGAACCAAATATTTCGCTGTCATTCATCACCAGTGTCACCACTGTCAGTGTATTTTTGTGGCAAAAACTAAATTTAATAATATAAACAAATAGGAGTCTGTGACTCTAACCTTACTTTTGACGTTTTGTGGTATATACTGGCAAGAAATTTTAAGTGGGTGAAGTTGACTTTTGAAAAGTTATTGCCAAGAAACATTACCAGGGCTAAGTCAGAACCTCTGCATTACTATGTCTCACAGTTTGCACGGCACTTACGTGTCAGAAAAGATTAACAAAATCCGTTGGAAGCCAGACGATTTTAATAATTGTCATTTTTTCGTAACCGGTAGTGTAGACAATGATGAAAATACAATAAAATTATGGGACCTTACGACTGTCGAAGAAGACGATATATATCCATTTCAAGTTGCTTCCCTACCTTATGATGGTGATGTCACTGAGATAAAGGTATGGTTGCTAGTAATTTAGGAACTTTAAAACCCCTCTCTCCTCTGACCTCTACAATTGTTGGGCTCAATAGAATGATGATGGTACCTGTCTACCTCGTTATTGAAGACTGGTTTGAAAGTATAGTGAAGCATCTTGTCCCTTCATGGTTGTATGAGGTTGTCGGTCTTATGGGAGCAAACATGGTAACAAAAGACAGTAGTGAAAGATACTATTTTTAGCTCAGTTTAGTAAAGATAACATGACCATGCTAGATAACTGTTGAAATATAATCTACTAGGCTCTCTTAAGGCGGATTTCCACAAAACGGACTCGCAACTAGTTTCAGTTTCAAAAACAGAAACAATCTTGTTGTAGTTTCGAAAACAAACTTGAAACTCGAATTCCACCAAACAAACAAAAAACTAGTCTTTAGCGTGTTTTGTTTTGAAGTGTTTTCTTTCGTTTCCACTACACAAACAGTTTTCATCATGCCTTCTCTAGACGATGTTTTTATAATGGCGTGCAGTTTTTTATAATCGAATCTTTTGAGCAAAAGAAGCGAAAGCGAAAAAGACCAAGATACTGGATGAGATCATTCTTAAGAAGATGACTAGATTATGGAACGGACAAAATTATGGCAGATTTGGTAGATGATGGCATAGAAATAAGTGGAGAACTGAGATCGTCATTTCATAATTTTGTAAGAATGTCCAATCACAAATTTGAGAACTTGGAAAATCTACTGGGACCAAAAATTTCCAAACAGAATACAAATTACCGAGATGCTATATCTGTGAAAGATCGATTGGCAATAACCTTAAGATTTTTAGCTTGGTGATAGTTTTAAAAGTTTAATGTATATGTTTAAAGTCTCTAGTTATTCAATATCAGGAATTGTGCCAGAAGTATGTGATGCTCTTTGTGAGGTTCTACAGGAATATGTTAATGTAAGTACAAATGTAATACAAAAATCTTTATGTTTAAATGTTTACATAAACTAAATATATATTTTATCATCTTTCACATGAGTAAATATTATCGCAGCTTCATTTATTTATTTTTTGTACCAAATGAGTTTGCTATTGCCCAGCTCAAGCCATCATTAGTTTCATAAGTATGAGTTTCTTCAGAATGAGGAGATGCCGACGCTGACGGGACACTATTATCAGAAGGTGAAGTATATGAATAATAACGTGTAAGAGAAGAATGTTGAGGAAAGTCAGATTTTCCAATTTGGGCATCGTATAAAATATTATGTATTTGGTGTTCAACTGTAGCCTTTGCAAAATCTGTTTTCAAGTTACGTATTGTATGTCCTACTAGTTCACCTAATATGGAGTATTTGTCACGTGTTTCGGTTGTCTGTGTTTTCTGATACACAGATTTCATCATTTCAAAGGCTTCTTTAGCAGAAGTACTCGTATTAACAGTATCTACTAGTTTGGAACTCTTCTTAGCAGCTTTCGGAGCTGATAATAAATGCTGTTTAGATGGTCGTTTTTTCGTGCCCTCTTTTGTGTTTGGTGTTTTAAATGGTTCAGTTTCTGGTGAATTCAGAATGTCAGACACCGAAGACTCTTGTTGTTCTATAGATATCCTGTTCTTGGTTTTCTATCTGAACGTCTGAAACATTAGCATCCAATTCATGCATACTCTCATTGGCACTACGTGTCAATTCACACGTTTGAATCTCATTGTCATCACTGTCTTCACTGCTTGATGGGTTGCTATCCTGAAATAATAAATTTAGTATTAATATACAGGGTGGTTCACTCTGCAGTAGCAGGACATTAATACTTGGTTGAAAAAGACACAAAATGTCGAAAATAAGAAGTTTAAATAAAGTTAAGCAGCTTCTTTTTCAAAATAAACATTATTTTTGTAATATCTCAAAATCAATAAAATAAATTTATTTGCATCTGTCTACTTCATAAAGATGCATAACAGGACGTGAAGAAATAATTATATTTTTAAAAATCAAAAACCAATGGCCGAAGGTGAGAAAAAGACGAGGCCATTTTTTTAGCAACTCTTGAGAACAAAAAAATTATTTTTATTGTGAAAAAAGGAGTGGCGCAGACAATCGGAAGATAAAACAATTATATTATCATAGTTTGTGATATTTTAAATGGGAAAACCCTATATAGTTTTTTTTTTTTTGGTTGCTCAGCAGAATATTTTCTATTTATACCGTGATAATATATAATTAATTAATGTTATTAAATCATGCTAAGCTTTGCTGGGTAGTGGTTTGTATATATATGTAGTGTAATGGTTTGTATGTATATATATATATATTTGTTTCAGGCTCCAAAGGCATCCGAAGAATGGGTAAAAGTGGCAAAAGATTTTCAAAATATTTGGAATTTTCCAATGTGCATCGGAAGTATGGACGGCAAACATATTGTTATCCAATCGCCAAAATTTAGTGGATCTGAGTTCTTTAACTATAAAGGAACGTTCAGTATAGTTTTATTTGCTATAGTTGATGCGAACTACAATTTCACTTATGTTTATGTCGGCTGCCAAGGCCGCATATCAGATGGTGGAGTTTTCAAAAGGACTGGATTTGCCAAAGCGTTAAATAAATCTGCACTCAATTTGCCTGAAGTTAAACAGCTTCCGGGACGTGAGAAAAATGTGCCGTACGTTTTAGTAGCAGACGATGCATTTCCGTTGACAACTAATATCATGAAACCATACGCAGGACACCAAGTCCGAGGATCAAGACAACGAATTTTTAACTATCGTCTAAGCAGGGCCAGAAGAGTAGTCGAAAACGTGTTCGGGATATTAGCATCTGTTTTTCGAGTACTTCGAAAACCTATGCTACTAGAACCCTCAAAAGCAGAAAAGGTGGTCCTAGCATGCTTTTTTCTGCATAATTATTTACGCCGTAATGCTCATGCAAAGGATATGTATACTCCGCCTGGTTCATTTGATGTGGAGGATTTCTATACCGGAACAATCATTCCAGGACAGTGGAGGACCGATAGGGAATCAATCCAGTCATTATTGGCCCTTAAAAATGTAGCAAGAAAATCACCGCATGATGCCAAAGAAGTGAGGGACGAGTTTATCGCATATTTCATATCAGAAATAGGCCAAGTTTCCTGGCAATTAAAATATGCTTAGTATTGTAAAACCAATTGTCATAAATAATGTTTTCCCCTATTTCTTGTTTTTTGCGAAAATATATGTATTTTTTTCAGTTCGTTCTAATAGTCTCTTTCTAATTTTTTAAAAATGTCAATACTGAGAACTTACCTCAAAATCCAATCAAACTTGCCTACCTTTAACAATAAAACAAATTAATAAATTAATATACTCTGGCTAGTGGCGATAGTCGAAATTCATACCTACCACAGATTAAACACTTAATAAAAATGTATGATGAATTTACACAAGTCACAACATGAATATCGCATACCAAAGCAAAATAGTGAACTGTTGTTGTCGCCGACCGTTTCCACATAGCGAACTCTGTTTACGAAAACAGAGACAAAATACCGAAACCTTTTGATCTTCCGCCTGGCGATGGGACTTTTCGTTGTTGACGAAAACACAAACTTGCGACACAAAGTCTTCAAAATTTTTTTTATTTCGGCAACAAAAGTTTTTGTTTTGTCGAAATCGACACAGTTGCTGTTTTGTTGCGGTTTTGTCCGTTTGGTGGAAATCCGCCTTTAGACTATCCTAAGCGAAGCCCAGGTAATCAGTTTTGCAAGTCTATCCCCAGTAAAATAGCTGCACAACACCTAAAAATGTGTACTCTATAGACTATGCTGGATAGACAAAAATTGTTGTTTCAGAGAAAATTGTAATAATTAGCTTTACAGCAGAATTAGCTGCATCAAGAGATATGCAAAAATTTGCTGGAAACTTTTTATTAAATGTCAAAGTTGGAAAAATCATGCATTTGCATATATTCAAATAGCTATGAATTATTGGTGCAAGTAGTCAAAATAAATTTTAATGTTAAATTGTTATTATTAAAAAATGTTGGAAATTGTTGATTTTTTCATCTATACTTTACTAGAAAATGCTTAACAGTAAATCTGAAATAATAGCCAAAAGCCGAACCCTTTGTACTGCTTAACATCCAGAAAAATTCATTAAAAAATACTCAACTATTTCTGCAAATTTCTAATTGTTACTATTTTTTTGTTTGTTGAGAAAAATGGTCTTTTTTGACTAGCTGTCCAGTGACTTTGGCCTCATACTGGACTGCTAGAGACTCAGTTTAATATCGTATTAGAAGACATACCAGATACTATACCAAGCAGGTAAAAAAGCATCCCCAATGGCACATCTATGTTTGTCTTATAAACAATTAGAATAAGTCTGTTGTTTTTTGACATTTGTGATTAAGACTCTCCCCACTGAAAAGCTGATGAAAAAACACACTGATGAAAAAAGGATCTTTTTTGGGCCTTTGGGCAATAAAATAACATTTCCCAGGCAGACATCTGCTTTTTTATTAAAGGATTCTATAATAATTGAGCTTGATCTCCTAGGAGCAGAAAAAGGCAATACTAGTCTAAATGAAGTAATCTGATTGATAAGCTGCCCTTCTCTAACATTAATGATGTAAATGTAAGTGATGAAATCCTCCAGGCTCCTGCCATGTATTCCAAAATGAACAAAACCAGTATCTCTAGTTCATACAGAATTCGTGCAAGTGGATTGTTTGAATGGAGGTTTTGTGCTCTTTCTAAATATATAAAAGGAATTCACAAATTGTAAAGCAAACTTTGTAAATGCTTGATTAGCCTGGACCTGTAATTTGTTTATTATTGGTATACAAATTATGTTTTGGTAAAAAAGGCTTTTTAATGTTTTTTTTTCATAAGGTAAAGGTAGGAAGGTAAAAAGAAATAAATCTTAATGAATATAAAACATTTATTTTGATAAGGTACTCAGTAATGGTATTTCTTTACCATATACGAGCTCCTTCCCACTTCAGTTGGCCCACTTCAAGATTTGTACCAAAATATGCCTTTATAAACTAAACATGACGAAACTATTTACTTCTAAAACAATTTATTTTCTCAAAAACATTTTGGATACACTCTAGTCGTAAAAAATACATATTTGAAATCACTTAGACCTATAACTGATAGAACATCTGAACAAATAAACAATGCGCGAATAAATGCGCGAAGTTAACAAAGCAACAATTCAAAGATTACCATTGGGTAACATCACCTTTATTTTTTATTACGGCTGAAATTCTTTGGGGCATAGTATTAACCAAGTTTTGAGAAAAATTTGGTGTAATATAATCCCATATTTCTTGATGCTTTTGTCTCAGTTCGGTGATTGTAGGAGCAGAATGTTGTCGTAGAATCTTTTTCATCTCGTACCACAAAGTTTCAACAGGTGACAGATCTGGACTGCTAGAAACCCATTTTAAAAGTGGTACATTATTTTCTTCCATCCATTTTATAGCTTTTTTGAGGTATGGCACGCTGCACCATCTTGCTGAAACACAAAATCTTGGCCGGATGTCAAACATTATTCCATCACTGGTAAAAGCGATTCTTCTAAAATTGCCAAACATTTGTTTGTATCCACATTTCCATCAATAAAATGAAGTTTTTCTACTCCTTTTGATGACATACTGCCCCAGACTATAATGGATGCTGGAGACAGTCAACATGGAATGCTTCATTTTTTTGCGAATAACTCTACTGCGACTGTCACCAACACAAACTTCAAATCGGGTCTCATCACTCCATTGTATTGCACACCATTGTTGAGATGTCCAGTGTCTATGTTCTTTAGCCCATCTAAGCCGATTTTTCTTTTGCAGTGGTGTTAATAGTGGCTTTTCTTTGGCCTATAAACAAGTTGTGCAACTTTAGGGTTTTTACTTCACTTTTTTTTTATAAGAAAACTTACCTTGCAAGTGCTAAATCCCAGTTTGTGGGCCTCTCTATGAGTTGTGGACCTGGAAATTCTCCTTCCAACAGCGTCACTCCACAGAGCACTTAATTGTAAATAATTGGCACGCCTGTTTTTCACGATTATTCTCCTTAATGCTCTTCTGTCGGCATTTGTGATATTACTTTTTTTCACATATAATGGCTTAATATTAACTGAACCAGTTACGTTATATTTTCTAACAATATTTCTCAGACTGTACCGCGATAAGTCTAACAAAGTTGCAATTTCTGAGTTTGATTTCCCAGAATTAAAAAATTCAATTATCAGTAACCGAATTTTCTCACTAATAACCTTTCCTCTACCCATTTTGAAAACCTTAACTACCCAAAACTATTTTAAACGTATTCTGACAGCTGTGATTAATAAAAACAATTGTCATGGCTTTTATTTTTCACAGCCACCTATGCGTTATAGACTTATTTTGCATTGGAATGAAAATAGGTTGATATGCTGTAATTGCAAGATGTGTTATTTTTATGCTGCAAATTTGATTAGGGAGTAATAAAGTTGGTGTTTTCTACTATATATTATCAAAATATTCATTGTTAATATTTTAAACCTATAACATCCTGCTATATTTTTATTATTTGTGTTTGATAAGAAAAAAACTAAGATTTCAATAGTTGGGCCAACTGAAGTGGGAAGAGGCTCGTGTATATTACAAAAACTTAACTCTTCTTGCCTTTGTATTTGCGAAATCTTCTATCAACTTTCTTGTATCCAAGCTGTCTAAAATTTCATGTTCAATTGAAACTATAGCTAAATTACTTAGTCTTTGCTGGAGCATTGTTGATCTTAAATAGTTTTTAATGATATTTAATTTTGAAAAGGATCTTTCACCAGATGCAACTGAAACCGGCAGTGTAAGTAATATTCTTAGCGCTATTGCTGTGTTCGGAAATGTTGAAATTAAATCATTGGTAAAAATATATTGTAATATAGTGCGAGGATCATTAGACTGGTTTTCAGCAAAATGCAAATTTAATGCAATGATTTCATTAAACAAATCAATACCGTCAATGTCTGAATCACCACTTGAATCATCTTTAAGCTGTAAACTTAAATCAATACAGTGTTTCATTAACTCATCATTGGAGAAATTAAATCAATTAACGCTAAAAAATCCAAATACGTCGGTAAATGTTTGTAACTCCTCGAATCTATCCTTTAAAGAAATTATTGTCTGAACTAAGATTCTAAAAAAAGTCCCTATATTTGATTTTGGGGTCTACCAAAACTTATCATTATGTTCATATTGAAATTGAGTGGGTTTTCTTCTTGGATGAATAGTATTTACTGGTGGGAGATCCGTTTCAACATTGAGTTCGTGAGCCATTTTGGAAGCTTCTGCTATCACAATTTCAAAGTGTTTATCCGTGCGATATTTTGTGAACTTATCAATCAATTTATTTACTAAATTTATGTAGATTTGAGTATTCATTGTGGGGCTCTGCATCATTTTGCTCAAAGCATTAATTTCGTTTAGAATATCGAACCAAATTACTACCGAGCAAATAAATTTATAATTTTGAATATTCAAAGCAAGCGAATGAGCTTTGTGAGATTACGAATTACCAGATATTTCCAGCAAAGCGTCAAATATATTTTCGAGGTGATAGCATAATGGCTTAACTGCATCGATTCTGCTAGACCATCGCGTAGCACTCAAATCTTTCAATTTCAGTTTCGTGCGAAATATTTGCTGCATCGTTCACTACCAAATTAAGACTATGGGCCGAGCATGGGACATAAAATGCGCGGTTATTCATTTCCAAATTTTTTTTTGTAGTCTATTGTGTTTTCCACGCATATTAGAACCATTATCATAACCTTGACCGCGTAAGTTTTTAATGTTGAGATTTAATTGTGAAAATAAATCCAAAAGAATTTAATAAACCGTCACCTGTGGAGTTGGTGATGGGACAGAAACTAACGAAATTTTCACATATTTCAATGTTATTTGTTTTGTTATTTAAAAAAACATACCTGAGTACAACTGTAATTTGTTCTGTGTGACTTACATCTGGTGTGCAATCCAATATAATGGAGAAATATTTTGATTCTATCACTTTGTTCAATATATATTTTTTTATAGCCCTACCGAGCATATCAATTATTTCATTCTGAATTTGATCTCCTAAATAGTGAGTCATATGACTGACTTTGGGGCGCCACCAAACGGGGTTGGGCGATTCCACCTTCTGGCAGACGACGGCGACGTTTAGTATTACATGTTAACGTAAATTTATGGTGTAGGTGGAGTGGCTATTTTTTATGACAATGTCTTCAAATATTACGTGATGAGTCGCTCGATTTGCCGCCCCCTTGGACGTGCCGCTCGCGTGGATTGCACGCCTTGCACGCCCGCTTACGGCGGGCCTGAATACTCTCAATGGCCCCCAAGCATAGATAAAATATCTGCTTCTCCCAGTGAAATACAATGATTGATAGAACTATTGGTAGGGCAGGGAAAAGATGCTTATGGACTAATTGTATGTTTGACTGACTTGATCCATTTAATTTGTGTTTTACACCTAACTTTTTTCTCAGCGGATCTAAGTTGAACAGAACACAATCCTTCATAAATTCGAATTTATCATCGATGACAGCATTGGGTGGGAAATGTAGAATCAACCTACTTCACATCATTTTTTTTGTAGTTCTTGGATACAGACAACTTTGTATCCTCATCGTCTTCTGGTTCAGTATATCTGATGAGAACATGTCAACCATACAATGATCAAATTCACCTGAAAACAACTACTGAATGGAAGAATATCCACAAGTTTGACAATGGAGAGGAAAGTCCTTGCACAACATTGGCAGTGTATGAGAAAAACGATATAATCACAGTAGGTGAAGATGGTTGTATTAATTTGTTGAATTCCCAATCACAGAGAATATTGAGAAAAATTGGTAAGAGATCTTATAAATGTATACAGATTTTTTTTCAGTTATATTAAGACATATTGAGTAATTAAAGAAAACCTTTCTACATGAATTTCATATTATTGAAATGAGCCATCTAATCAAAAGGTCTGATTATCAATGTGAATTTGAAAATACTCTAAAGATGAACATAGCACAGGAATACTTGTTTTGTAGACATTTTTTTGATAGAGTACTTCTGCTGAAAGTTCACATAAGAAAAACATTATAGAATCTAGTTCTATATTGATTTCACATATGTCATAACATGCCCAAGTCTTAATACAATTCCTTTGTTACAAGGGGCGATTCTTTAAGCAGAAGATTTTTTCTCTCCAAGTATATGTTCTCATATTTTGCTGTATACAGATATTTCAATAGAAATTCAAGATTTGCAACTTGTAGTAGATAAAGAAATCTTAAATACGATGGTTTTAGAAAATCGATCAGGTCATTTGTTGCTGAGAAAATCATCAAAATCAATTCGCACATTTTTATAATAAGCAAAAAATAACAGAATTTGTGTTCATTTATGCTACTACGTGGGAATGTAGCTGTTTTGATATTCAAGATCTTCAAAATTTCATGCCAATCCGACAATACTTTTCGAAAATTTGTTATTGTTTACCCCAGACATCTTTTTGCAACCATGAGCTTCGTTTATTAATAAAAAAAACGGAACGGTAGTTCCATGGAATTAATTCACTATTTAATAAACATAGCGACTTGTTGTAGTTGTTTTTAGGGAGATTTTACCTATGTATGAACATTTCTGATATTTATTTGGCAAATTGTGAGGGAAATAATCGGATAAGGCAAAGTAGGCCAAACTGAACAAATATTAAATTATGTGTTATTGCTTCTTTAAATTTCAAATAATTAGGCACTGCTAGTATATCTAAAATTTTTACAGATAATGCAGATAGTTGTTCTATCCACTGTGTGATCTTTCTGAAGCATAATGAAATTCTTACTAGTAATTTGAGAGGCCAGATGAAGATATGGGATTTGCGATCTCAGAATGATCAACCAACTAATAATTTTATGTTGAGTGGTGATCAAGTTACTCCCACCTGTCTAACTTACCACCCAACTCAGAGGCATTTGCTAATTACTGGTGATGATCTGGGTATGTATAGTGAACTTACTACTTACTAGTATGTAAGTAGATGGAAATTGAAGCTGAAAGAGATGCTCTTTTGCATTCTATTCCACACTGCTCGACGTCTAGTTTATTTGCAGTCTTGAAGGATTTTAAAATAAATTGCACATTAACATTTCAACTTTTGCTCTCCTACCAGATGGCATAATTAGAATTTCAGTATGACGTTTCGTCTTTAACATCAAGTCTTGAAATTATCAGATAGTCATTTGCTTCATATACCAGATTTATCGCAAAATCATTTTTTTAACTTTATTTGAGATGAGATTTTAAAATAAATTGCATGTTGCTATTGCCACTTTTTCTCGTATACAAGATCGGTTAGTAAAATTTTCAATTCGAGTTTTTTCTTTTTACTTCCATCACCAACGTTGTTTGCTTTCAGTCCTAAATTTAGCGACGTATTACCTAAGTTGTCCATGAATTTATTATGGGAATGATTTAATTTTTTGCTGGAAAACTGGTAAAGAATATTGTTTGTATGATGGTGGTATTGAATTATGTATATATATATACATAATTATATATATAATATATATATATATATATATATATATATACATAATACACATGGCTGTGCAAAATCAACATTGATACAACAGTCATTATTTCAAAATTTACAAGGCCTGCATCTAGCTCTAGGATTGCTTTTAGTTATACTTGTATATCTAATAGTTCGTTTTTGTAGAGTAAGCAGTTTTTTGAATACTTTTGAGAACAGACATACCAAAAGGATATGATATATCTTGATCTACTTTTGAATAAGGCAAAGTAACTGCTTAAGGCTGTGCTTTTCATTACTTTGTATCTAATTATTCTTATAATAAAGGAAATATTTGCTAGCCATTTTCCTACATGATTAGTAAAATCTAATTTATTATCAGTGTCAGTCCCAAAAATTTGATGGTGTCTGTTTTGTGTATCAATTCATTATTTAAATTTATAAAATCAAGTGAGCTTGTAAATGTTTTCAGTCCTAAACTTAGCATTACATTATATCTTATCAACATTGAAAGTCAAGTAATTGTTGTCACACCATTTTTGATTGATTGTATATCACTATCAATTTTTGTATTCATTTCATTTATATCTTTGTCTTGTGCGTAGTAGTAAGTATTGTGGTATCGTCAGCAAAATCTACGAATTTATCATTTATGTTGCGGTTTATCAAATTATTGATATAGGCTAAGAATTGGATCGGAACGAATACTGAAGATTCATATGATACATCAACGTCATTCTTGCAGGTGCATTGACCACGTGGGACTTGCGTCATAACACTTACCCGATAAATGTATTGAACGCCCATGAAGGAGCCATTTCCGAGATCCAGTTCCATCCAGACCAACCAGATCACCTCTTCAGTTGTTCCAGTGCTGGAGAGATCTGGCATTGGTCCACCAAGGCCAAAACAGGCTCTTCTCTCATGCCAGAATCAGATCCAAATGTTTGGTTGGCACATGATAATGTAAAAAATAAACTTGAGGTTTTCACTCTGATGCCGACACTTGGAAAATCGATCAATACGTTGGATTTAAGTAGGAATAAGGTTATCTGTGGTTGTGATAATGAAGCTATTTATTTGATTAATGGTGTAACTTTGTGTTGAAAATATAAGCTGAATTATTTTTTCAATTTTTAATGTTTTTCTCCTATAATAGATTATTTTTTTTTATGGATTATGGATTAAACGTGTGAAATCGAAATCATCATTTATTGTAAAGCTTTTTCTTTATACGGAGTTGGTGGCAAATATCTTGGCAAGTTCATCCTGGTAGGTAAGCGGCGAAAGACTATTCTATGAGACGTTCCCTTCAATATACTTTGCCAGCGTCTAGAACGACTGAACGACCGACTGGCATTGAGAACCGCTCGTTATATTTGTTTTTGGACTCGACGTGGACTTGTTTATTGTCTACAGTGGGGTTTCGTAAGAAGGCTCTGTGCACTTTGATCTTCTTCTGACAAAACAGCAAATTAGTAACATTAATCGTCTGTTTGGGTGGTTAAATATTAGAAACTTGATGGAGAAGTGAAGATGATGGGGTTAAACTGAAACGTGTATCCGTTTCTTATGTATTCAAATATTATTCATGTAAGAAATTATGGGCAATCTCTTTTTACATACCCGAAGAACTACTTAACACGTTTACACCAAAATGTTGTTTACAAAAATGCACAAAATACTTTAGAAAACACTTGAAAACCGTCCATCCACAACAGTCACAAAACTACACTCACTTATGATCCAGGTAGGTAGTTTTCCGTATTATTGTCTATTTACCTGCCTTTGATGATAATATGAAAATTAAGCGTAATTACCTTATTTAATTAAGTAACTAAAAAAAATAGTTCTGGGAATTTTCTATTTTTGCCCTGGTGAATACGATTATGGGGCCACAGTGCTTAGTGAAATTTCATTACCCATGTTTGTATCTTGAACTCTTTAACTTTTTGTGGTGATTTTCGGGTTCAGCTTAGCCAGACAAAATGTTTCGGAAATAGCTATTTTTAAACCCGAAACAGTTCAGTGTTGAGCAATGTTATTGGTAATTTTTAATACGGTAAAAGTTTGTTTGTTGAGATGACGGAAAATCTGCCCCAGGAGATTTCCCAGTACTATTACAGCAATTGCCGTGCTTCGATTTTAAGTTTACCCTTCGCGGTTGCCTCACTGAAGAAAGGCAGAACAAGTTGAGCGTATAATTTAATTGTATAAACAAATATATGTATAGTATTATTTTGCTCATTCAATTGGTATATCATGTCCTTCTTCATCTGACGACTCTAGTTCATCTACCATATTGATGATCTCCGTTTGAATTCCTTCTTCATTCCTCTGACTTTCTCTCATTACTGTCATCATCTGTGGAGAATACTGTTCCACTTTATCCAGTAATGTCTCTGGGTATCCAGGTGAGTAGTACCTGCAGTGCAAAATAAACAGAGCAATTGATTCACATGTTACTAGGATATACAAGGCAGCTTGTAGTGCATGTAGCCTATATCTAAGGAGAATCGGCGAAATGAGAAAATCCCAAAAGTTGACGCCTGACTGAGGACGCAGTAATCTAAACCTGTTCCAGCTACTGTGCGTGCGCAGTGTGGCTGAAGTTAGATTCGGCCGCTTGAAACTGTAGGCCTTTGGCAGTCCAGGCAACTCTGCTGTAATCTGTACTACTATTAATCATTCAGAAAAATTGTTTTATAAAAAAAAAAAATAAAAAAAAAACGGATACCTGCAGATTCAAGCGGCCGGATCTTAGACTATTAGGAAAGTGTTCATATGGCGGATCTGTCAAAGAACAGGGTGGCCAGATTTTCCCAGAACAAGCACAAAAATCCATCAAAACTGCTACTCATAAAAAAAATCCCCTAAATCACAGGTAATTAATGGAAAGAGGGGGGATCACGTTGCTATTGATATCATGAAAGCGTTAGACCAGCAGCCGTGGCATGCTGACCTCTTATGCAAACCTCCATCCTATGGCATTCCAGAGAAGTTTTGCAGATTGGTGGCTGACTTCCTGTCTATCCGTTGTAATTGACAGTTTCTCCTCTTCATCCCAAAACGTCAAAGCGGGTGTCCCCCATCGGTCTTGGCTCTCCAACATTGTTCCTCTCGCATATGAACGACCTCCTTTCCTGTACGATCAATAACGGTCCACAGCTTAACTGATGACAGCACTCTACATGCAGGAATTCAGAGTGACAAGCTGATCTCTGCCGGTGAGCTGGAGAAAAGAAGACCAGCAGCGACTTACTCTCTGACGAGATACCTGAAGGTTATCACTGCTTGGGGGCGCCTCAATCATGTAGATTTTGATGCTTCCAAAATACAGTACTGTACCTATACTAACAAGAAGCGTCCTACCGCTCATCTGGTTTCTATGGATGGCCGAGTTCTACCAAAGAGCCATTTATTTCGACTGGTCGAGATCACCGAGGACTTGATCTGGTACGAACGCATCTCGTCAATGGCGGCAGCTGCTGAGAAAAAGCTAGGGTTATTACCCATGCTCGATGCTGTTCAGAGGGCTGTTCGACCGATCGATGACTCTTCGCTAACTGATAGTCTCAGGACTCTTTCGCAGCGGTGATATGTCGGCAATCTAGCTCTCTTTTACCGCTACCTCAACGGGCTTTGCTCCTCGGACATCTCCTCCATGATGCCGCAGCGCGATGTCCCTGCTAGACAAACCCACCTGACTTCGGCCTCCAATACTAACCGTGCCGAACATCGTACATGTAGAATTTGCCGATATGACCATTCCTGTGTCACTAATAGGATATCGAGGTTGTATGCTTCCGATCTCCGAAACGTGTGATATCAGAACATTATATCCATGAAAATTTCCCTAAGTAAAATTTCCCCGAATGTTTGGGGAAATCCCCCAGTATGGCAACCCTGCCAAAGTTGCACTGCTACTCGAGTCGACGAACAGTATTGCCTTAGTTTCTCTTGGTATATAAGCTCCATCGTGTAGTGGTAGATTAAAGCATATCAATTAAGTTTTGCATTTGAGTGAATAAAACGTAGAAAACGATGTAACTTAGATAAAGATATATAGTAAATAAAATGGAAAGATTTCTGCGAACTGATTCCACTAATCTTCCAAAGGTGGACATAATAATGGTTAATTATACTATGCGAAATATTTATGCTTTGGCACGCATTATCAATAATTGGTAATTATTGTAATTAAACCATCAGGCGATCAACGCCCTTAAAATATTTCCAAAATTAGAAATATTGACTAAATTTTATACCAAAAGCCATTTCTACGTTTTCCTGGTCACTTAACCAATACGGTATGTCACCGATCATACATCTATCTAAAAGATGTTTTGATTGAGCTCAAATTCGAGTTTTAGGCGTTTTTAGGGTCGCTAATAACGATCTTGATGAAAACATGTTTTGATTGCGCTAAAAATTGGGTTTAAAGTATTTTTAAGATTGTTAATAAGGAGTTAAATATCGACTGTTCAATAATCTAAATGGCGGATCTAGTATGACGGCTATGTTTGAAAAAAATTTGTCGATTGCACTCAAATCACAATTTTTCATTTGTTCACGGTGTAATTTATGTATTTGTTTGTTTGTTTCAGATTTATTTAGCATTAATGCTACAATGTCCATAATATCCATATAACACAGTATATCACAAAATTTTACTACTATGAGTTCTGGTTTTCCATGAGATATTTTTTCAATATCCCTTTGAACATTTTCAAACTGACACAGATCTTCATATCAGTACTTAATTTATTAAATTCGTACAATCCCTTTTGAAATACCGACTTGCTCGTTACATTGCTACTGCAGTTTTGTAAATGAAAGTCTATACTTCCTCTAGTAGAATAATTGTGGTACTCATTGTTCAATCCAATAAAATTTTCCAAGTGATTTTGTAGAAGATGATTTTTCAACTTGAATATGAAATGAAAACGAAGTAGGCTATTAAATTTTTGATATTTAAGTTAGTTCTTTCAGCATAAAATTTATTCTAGTGTATTTATTTTTATTTAAGATGATTCTCATAGCTTTATTTTATAATATTTCTAAATTTGAAAATACAGATTCATTTGCAGTGAACAAAATAGTCGAACAATATAACAAATGAGGAAGAATGATAGTGTTGTACACATTTTTTTCAGAATAAACGTTTAGGCTAGGCGAAATTCTATAAAAGTAATTTATTTTTTTGGATATTTTTGAAATAATATATTCATAGTGCCCTTCAAATTTTAATTTACTGTCTACGTATATGCCCAAATATTTAAATTATTCGATTGACATAATTTTTTCTTGATTAATTGTATCTAAGGATTTTCCTATTAGCATATATTTTGTTTTGTTTGTGTTTAGTTTAAGCTTATTTACATTTAACCAATTTATTATCATTATTTAACAGCTCTATTGCAGTTTCAATGTCTTTATATCTTTATATACTACCAGGTCCATTGCAAATGAATGGTTTGCAGGACACGGAAGACCTATTGGCATGCGAAGTGTTTACCGACGGATGAGAAGTTTTGGCTTGTTTTCATACCGGCCACACTGGGTCCTCCCTTTAACTCGAGAACACCGACTTAATCGCCTTGAGTGGTGCAGACAACGGTCACTCTGGGATCAGGAATGGAACAGTATTGTCTTTAGTGACGAGTCTCGATTTTGTTTAGGCATGCACGATGGTCGTGCCAGGGTTAGAAGGCGACGTGGTGAAAGGAGGAATCCACAGTTTTTTGTTGAAAGACATGTTCATCACACTGTTGGAGTTATGGTTTGGGGTGCTAGGTTTGGGGTGCTATAGCTTATGGTTCCAGGTCACCTTTAATCTTCATCAGAGGTAACATGAACGCGCAGCGTTATATCCACGAAGTTCTAGAACCCCATCTTTTACCCTATCTTGACACCCTGGCAGATCCAACTTTCCAACAAGATAATGCCCGACCACATGTTGCAAGAGTCACAATAGACTGCTTTCAACATAATGATGTCACATTGTTACCATGGCCACCAAGATCTCCCGACTTATCCCCAATTGAGCACGTGTGGGATATGATGGGTAGGAGATTGCTCAATTTGCAACGTCCTCCTCAGACTCTAGAAGCACTTCGAGAGGAGTTGGTGGTTGCCTGGAATGAGATACCACAGGAGGACATTGACCACCTGATCAGAAGCATGCCTATTCGCGTTGGAGAATGCGTAGCACATCAGGGTGCATCCACACATTATTAAAGGTCAAAGGGCTTTAAAGCAGTGCAATCATTTTGAATTTTTTATCATTTACTTATTATGCTTCATTAAGTACTTATACAAAATTTTATTGAAATAAAACCATTTAAACTGGGTGTTCGGATTTATATGTCACTTAGTATATATATATATAATAATGTATCATCAGCAAATAGTTGAATTTTGCAGTGTTGTAAAATATCAGGAATATCGTTAATATATAAAATAAATAGTAATAGTAGCGGAATCTAATGAGGTTTTTCGAACTATTTTTGAATTCACTAATTTTACGGAGAAAATCAATCATATATTGTCGTACAATGTCATGTGTCGATTAGCAAGTAATACAACGCCATATCATAATAATTATTCACATATCCGACTCCTCAATCCATTTTGCCACATCTTAAAAGACTTCTTTTAAAACGTGACACTATTCTATTTACAATTTTCTTGCACTTTTGGCCAGGTTTTTTGGATCCTGAACCAGGCATCTCCACGTCGGCACGGACGTGGTTCAAGGAGTATCCCCCCTCCAGCCACAACAAGATCACTAGCAACATAATGTCGAAGCAAAAGGAATAATCACGCTAATTATGTTGTTTATCCATCATAAGAGGCACATACACTTATATTAATTTTGATCCTTTTTACAAAAATTAACTAAATACCTATTAACATCAAAATAATATTTACAGCAGTACAATGAGTACAAAGAGGCATTATGCTGCACCACTTCTTTCTAATTTTTTCATGTTTTGGCATAAGTAAACATATTTTTCGGCAGCTGAAATGCATGTATTTGTAACTCGATGGTCTGACTTATTTTTACCGTAAATTGTAAGTATGGAGCAGAAAAGCGTGAGCGATGGGCGTATCGCTTTCTTATAGCGATAGTGGCTGGTGTCATGTGACGTCATCACTCAATAGCATGCTCCATCAAGATAAGTCTCCCAAAAAGAAACTTCTGTGTAACGTAACTTTGTCATTTTTTAAGATATTCAAATACATTTCAGTGCTGTACTTCATTTTCTATCATTTCAAGTGTGTTTCAAAAAATAGGAAACTTCCACACAACAGACAAAACAATGCCGTCTTGCAACTGCAACTGGTTGCATGCAATGGTCTTTCTTGTGAACTGTAAAACGGTTTTTATAGCGTACCTTACAATTTCCTCCGGGAAACAAGAGTTGACGATGTTGATGTTCTCGTAAAGGGTGGTTCCAGGTTTTGCTTCCATCTCCTGAACCTTCCTCAACCCTCCAGAAGTGACAAACATCCTTCGCGCCTTGGGATGTCGAGGAAGCACCTTGCTGTATTGGCCCAGCACATATTTGAGTATGTTAGGCGGAGCGTCGTAGAGCAGCGGTTCAAGTGCGGATATCAGTAAGCATTTTTGCAGGCAAAGCTTCAAACAGTTCTTGCATTTGTATCTCAGGTCCTCAGACGAATCTTCACTGACATATAGTTCAACCTTGAAATCGAACGCAGTCACAAAAAAATGGCGTCAAGTAAGTTGACTTTTTACTTCCCACGCAACGCGATCACCAGTCTGTTAAGGATGATGTTTGATACAAGTTAGCTTTTCTGAGAAAAAAGTTAGCTACGAACATGTAACTATATCAAAAAATTAAATGACCTCCTTCCTCCCCCTGAGAGAAATTCCTGCGAGCGCACATGATTGTGCCTATGGCTAACCCCAAGTAGATGACGATATTGACGTTTAGAGAATACAGCAGTACGGAAGCGACTGCCAACTGCGACGCAAGGCCATCAGCCAGATCACGTCGCACGTATCGAAACGCGACTGTTGGAGATATTTATGTTTTCAGGGTGAATGTATTGGGACATCTATGACGAGTGAAAAATGTCTAATAGGTGCGTATAGTTACTGGGGCTGGATGCGTATAAATATACTATCAGGAGCCTCTAAAACGTCAAAAAACAATGTTAGCGATTTTTATATCCCTCATTTTTGACATTTTTCTCCGCCGCCACTGGACCAAGTTCCAAGCTCTCCAAAGCTTTTTCGTCTTTGGCATAGTAGTAAACTTTTGTGAAAATGTCTTCCAAATTCGAGCAGTACTTTCCAAGTTATAGAGGGGCCAATGAATAGCGGACAGACCGACAGGCAGACCGACGAGAAATGGATAACTTATTTTTTTGTGATGTACGTACATGTCATATAACATCTAAAAAACATATCTCATTTTAAAAGTTTTGGGAAGTAAAACGGTTTTACTTTGTACTCTAATTACAGTGTTAAGAAGCTTACCAGTTTAGGAAAAATGTCAGCAGCAGCAACAGCGTGAGAATGTTCCGGGCTATGTTTACCTATCTGGCCGAGCGTCCAAGCTGTTACCGATAATAATCGGTCATCCTTCGACTCCTGCAATATTTTGCCCAGAACTACTACACACTTACATCCTAGTATAGACATGGCCAGCTGGTCACAATGGGCAGAAATAAAACCTATAACACAAATATGTTAGGGCATTTTTGACCACAATGTCTTATTATTACGTAGTTTTTCGCTCCCTACATTATTGACAGTAATTTGACTTTGAACTTCCCACGCAAAGCTGTCATCAGTTCGTAAAAGCTTATGTTCGACACAAGTTAGCTCTTTTGAGAAATTTAGGTACGGACATATGTAACAAAACGATAAATAACTTTCCTCCTCCCCCTGAGAGAAATTCTGACAGACATACATGATTGTTGCGATAACTAATCCCGCGTGGATGACGATTTTGACTTTTACAGCATCCAGCCCACAGCATTAAGGAAGCAATTGCCGACTGCGACACACGGTACCATCAGCCTGACCGCGTCGCACGTATTGACACGCAACTGTTGAAGATTTGTTTGTCTTCAGGGAAAATGTCAAATGAGGAGCCTCTGAAACATCAAAAACTAAAGATTGAGTGATTTTTTTTTCGTTTTCGGCCTTTCCCTCCGCGGCTACTAGACCGATTTTCTAAAGCTACAAAGGTTTATCATCCTTGCAATAGTAATAACCTTGTGTGAAAATTATAGACAGACAGACCGACCGACTGACAGACAGACAAACAGAGACCGACAGTGACATGCTTTTTCGTTATGTGCATGTCATAAAAAATCCAAAAAACATCTCGTTTTCTATTTTTATCGCGATTAGATTACTTCCTTGCCCAGTGTCGTAAGAAGTAAAATCTCAATGTTCAAGGTGAACAATATATTTTCAGCGTGCTGATCGGCTAGTGAGGCGTAGCCTATATTGTGACGTCATCGCTCAGCCACGCGTACCGGCAAGACAAGTCTGCAAATACTAAACTTCTCGGTAGCGTGGCTTCTTTTATTTTTTGAAATATTTGAAAAATGTTTTCGTTGCTGTAATTCAATTTACTTAGACTATGATTCGAGATATGTTTTCGAAAATACGAATCTTCCTATATACCTACAGGGTGTTAATAAAGTATGTAGACAAACTTTAACCATCGAATCCTTGGTCAATTTGAAGACGAAATTTCCATATGAACATGGGTCCGCAACGGCTTTGTTTTCAAGCTAGAGCATATTAGCACTAAAAGAAATGATTATATTCTAAAAAATTATAAAAGAATGGAACGCATTTTATTTTAATTAAGTATGCCCGTGATGAATAACACATGATTTACAGTTGTTTTCAGACCCTCCATGTATGTAGATACGAATAATGTTATCCAGTATTTTTTGAAAAAATAGCATGACATTGATTAGTTTTGACTACTGACCTTCTAAATTTTTTCCAAAAATACAGCATAATACTATTTTCATCCACGTCCATATTGAGCCTCAGTAACTGGTAAAACATGCAGAATTTATCACAGGTTATAGCAACTGTTCAATAAATTCATTTCATTATTCATAGAAATATTTGGAACATTACCGTATTTCTTTAGTGATACTGCTATAGCTCGAAAGGAAAGCCGTTGCGGACCCATGTTCATAAGAAATTTAGTCTTCAAATAGACCCCTTTCCCATGTATCCCCCTATAGCCCCACGGTACCCAATGGGTGCTTAGGCCTTAGGCCTTCGTGGTAGTAGTATAAAGTATAAAAAAAAAGGATTCGATGGTTAAAGTTTGTCTACATACTTTACTAGATTTTTCAATTTTTCATCACTCATGGTTTTTTTGATGGTAGGAATTCGAATATTTTTGGCAAATAATTCATAATACAATAATGACCATCTTATAATCATTTCCATTCTGGTGGGTGCGATCACAACTTATTGGTAACACATCCACCATTTTTACAAACAAGACGAAGTGGATATGGCATTGGGGGCTTCACAAAAAAAATCTTCAAATTAAAAGAAACGGAGAGAGTGACGAAGTTGTACGAAATTATGGAGTTAATAGTTGCTGTATAAAATAGGATCAGGACTATTGATAAGGTGAACAACACTAATAATTTTTATAGCTACGTTGTTGAAAAGGGTATCAACCACAAATGCACAAAATGTCAACGTTATAATGTTACTTGATTTTGCTTTTTAAAAAAGTGTTTTAAGATATTTTAGAATTTTATTAAAGGGCCTAAAAATTGTAAGCAAAATAGACGTGAAATTTGGAAATAGATGTATACGTGTGCGTGAGAGCTTTTCCCCGAGATGCACTTAATCAATGTAGTTGATTTCATTTTGATCTGGTTTAGTTATTACCTAGAGCTGTTATGGATGGCAGCTTGGCCTCGTTCTGTCTATCTTCTAAGAAAAGAACCTCCATCAATGCATGTATTCCGCCAGTATTCACCTGTCAATGGACACATCATATAGGGCGAGTCAAAATACAAAGTAAATACAATAAACTGTGTATAAAGGGTGTCCCTTAATGAGATGACAATCTCTCGGATGTTTACAGAAATAACACGCCAGAGTGACACGGAAGGCAGATTGGCTTCAGATAAATCAGATAAATTGAACATGTTTTTAGTAAATGTTTATTAGTTTTCGAGATATTGCCACCTGTAAGTTTTTTCAAAAAATCCATACTTTTTTATCCTTTTTTGGCCTGTTATGCCTATGAATAACTTCTAACTTTTTCCGAATATTTATTTCATTGAAAACTAGCACGGTATGCTAAAAAAAATCTTACATTTGGTTTCAATGCGAAAACCTTTGGATAACCCCAAGTTTTGTCATTGAAGTCGTAATACTTGCGAAATTCTGCAAATTGAAAATATTAAATGCAGCTGTCTTTTGTGTCCAAATTACACCTTTGTAGTTGCTGTAATCACGGTGCACAGGTATTATCGGAATGTTGTAAAAATCAATGGAATTAAAAAAATACAACCTAATGTTCTGTTCATTATCTTGATGCCTGCGTACTACAGTAAATAAAAAAGGATAATGGATAGTTGTTTTAGGCATTTGCGATTACAGCAACTACAAAGTTGTAATTTGGACACAAAAGATAGCTGCATTTATTATATTTATTTGCAGAATTTCGCAAGAATTACGACTTCAACGATAAAACTTGGAATTATTCAATTTTTAGTAAAAAGAACCTACAAGTGCTATACTATTTTGAAAGAGCACTAAATAGCTAATTTTGAAAGACGTTCACTGATTCAGTCTGGTACATTTTTTTCACGATAATTAGTAAAACTAGTAAAACCTTAGTAAAGGTTTTCGCATTGAAACCAAATGTAACAATTTAGTTTTTTTTTCAATGAAATGAATACCCGATTGACTCAAACAACTACTAGTGGTAGCCCAGAAAAAAAATCATAAGTTTGAAGTTCTTTATAGCCGTAGCAGGCAGAAAAGGGCGAAAAGTAGTGATTTTTTGAACGAACTTTTAAAGTGGCAATATGTCGAAAACTAGAAAACTTTTACTAAGGTCATGTTCTATCTGATTGATCTATCTACCTTCCGTGTCACTCTGGCGTGTCATTTCTGAGACACCCTCATAAAATGCTAGAAGACAAATCCAGAAACTCTTATGAAATAAAGTTCAAGGGGGGTGCCAGGGGGGCTAGGCTCCCCTGGGCATCCGGTTGGACTTTGGAATTTGTGTACTTTAGTGTACAATTTTGGTAGATTTGGTAGGAATCAAATAAAATAAGGTGACTGTATTGTGAAAAATCAATAACATCTTGTGAGTCGTCTCAGGACACACATGTTTCCGAGGTTATGTTTCATACAGAGAAGGTTTTAAATTTGAAGAACGTCAAATAACATCAAACAAAAGTAAAGCAAAATTACAAACCTGATACAACAAAATCAGTTAGTGTATTGAAATTTATCAGGGGCTTTAGAGAATCTGATAATGTTGTATGCAGAGTGTTGAGCGTATTTACGTATATCTAGTTAGGAAAATTGAAATTACGAAAGATGCATAGGATGATAAAGCTTCATTTATATAATTTATATGGTTTATAAACTGCAATTATAGCAAAAATTATAATAGTAAATACACGATGAGTTTGTTATCATTTTTCTGACATAAAACAAATTCTAGAAGCAGTAACACTTTTTCCAACATTCTAGTTCTTAATTAAATTATTGACAATGTGAAATTACTGATTTGTAATATTTACATTAAGAAGACCCATGCGGTTGATTTTGGTTAGCCTGGTGGCAGCGTATTATCAGTAACCGACGGCGATAGACCGATTTTGAAAAAAAAAATGGGGAGCAATGTACTTTCAGAAGGCGTTTCTGAAGTAGCGGATGAATGTGTTCGAGTTGTTGTAGAATCTCTCTCAAACTCTCAAACTAGAGAAAAATCGTATGATTTGTGAAGACCTGTAGGCCCCTATATTTCATGTTATAGTCAAAAAATCCTTCATCAATCACCTGGTTTAGCTACAAAAACCTATTTTTTAATTTGCTTTCGGACACATTTGCGAAAGCCTGAATCTCGGTGAGGTGGAACTTTATGACCCATATTTATAGAATTTTTTAGTGTTATTTTTGGATGTGCTCTTTAGTTTATACTATTTAATAAATGTAAACATAAATGGTATATTTATAGTTTTTTGCTGACGATAGCACAATAGTTTGGCAAGACACAGATATAGATGAAATTAGGTCAACAATTGACAGTGATATGCGATCAATCATAAAATGGTGTGATAACAATTACTCAACCTTCAATGTTACTATGACCAAATTTATATTTGAATCCGATTTCTATAAATTCAAATGATCATTTGAAACATAAATCAAATTAGGACTGCTCATTGATCATACATTACATTTTACTAGTCATGTAAACAAACTGATTACTCAACTAGCAAATATTCTCTTTTTTACAAGTGGTGTGTCTATTTAAATTAGATATATAAGTAAAAGTAATCCTAGAGCTACATACAGGCCTTTATTTTTAAATCTTAATGTCATGACTATCTCAACATTGTTTATTTTCGAAACAGCAACTTTTATTTAAAAAAATAAATCTACATTTGAGACATTAAATACCAGTTACGCTGTTAACTGAAAACAAGTATTAAATTAGTAGTACCTAAATCAACACGTCTGAAAGACTCAATCAGTTAAAATGGTCTGAAAACTTACATGTGTCTCCCTGATGATATCAAAAGGATCAACAATGGAGGAATACATCCCTCACACAGTGAAAGTGCCTAGACCAGGGTCCAACGGCTGGTTTAACAAATCGTGTGACGCTGCGCGCGAGCAGAAGATCAAGGCCCACAGAACCTTCTTACAAAACCCCACTGTAGAGAACAGACAAGCCGACGTTGAGTCCAGAAACAAATATAAAACAGCGGTTCGCAATGCCAAAAACCAGCATGATGTAAAAGTTAGGCACAGGGTAATGTCGCAGCGCAATGGTAGTCGGTCTTTCTGGACGCTGGCCAAGCAGATTGAAAAGAACTTCTCACACAGTAGCCTTCCACCACTCATGTGTCAGGATGGAACTATTATATTCAACTCAAAGGCCAAGGCGGAAGTGCTAGCCAAGATCTTTGCTGCCAACTCCACCATGGACGTCCCCCCCAACGCCCAAGTGCCGTCAATTCAAAGGGTTCCCTACACTATGCGGGAGGTAACATTCAGGCCTAAGACCGTAAGACGAGTGCTCTTGTCGCTCGACATCAACAAAGCTTCTGGTCCGGACTTGATTTCTGCCATTGTTCTGAAGAGGTGTGCACCGGAGCTTGCTCCAGTTCTTTCGCGTCTCTTCCAGATATCTTATGAATCCGGCATCTTCCCAGAAAACTGGAAATTTACTCATGTCCATCCAATCCCAAAAAAGGGATCTAAGACCGACTCTTACAACTACAGGCCTATAGCTCTGCTTTCTGTTTTAAGTAAGGTGATGGAGAGGTGCATAAATCGCGAGCTTCTGGACTACCTCGAACGTCATGGCTTGATTAGCGACAGGCAGTATGGTTTCCGGCACCAACGATCCACAGGGGACCTCCTAGCTTACGTCACTCAATTGTGGAGTAAACTCATCCAGTCTTATGGTGAGGCTCATGTCGTTGCTCTTGACATCACGAAAGCGTTCGATCAGCTGTGGCACGCTGCCCTCTTCAGCAAACTTCCATCCTATGGCCGCCCAGAAAAGCTTTGCAGATGGGTGGCTGACTTTATCTCTGGCCGCAAGATATCCGTCGTAATTGACGGGTTCTCCTCTTCATCCCACAACGTCAACGCGGGTGGTCCCCAGGGATCGGTCTTGGCTCCGACACTGTTTCTCTTACATATCAACGACCTCCTTTGCCGCCAATCTCTGCCGCTGAGTTGGAAAAAAGAAGACTAGCGATGACTTCCTCTCTGACAAGAGACCTGGAGGCTATCACTGCTTGGGGACTCAACAATCTTGTACAGTTCAATGCTTCCAAAACGCAGTACTGTACTCTGACGAACAAGAAGCGTCCCTGCGCTCACCCGGTTTCGATGGATGGTCGAGTTCTGCCAAAGAGCCATTCATTTCGGCTGGTCGGAGTCCAGATCATCGAGGACCTGATCTGGCACGAACACATCTCGTCAATAGCTGCAGCTGCTGGAAAAAAGCTAGGCTATCTGTTTAGGGCTAAGAAGTACTTTTCTCCGCACGACCTTCTCATTCTATACAAAGCCCAGATAAGGCCTAGCCTCGAGTATTGCTCACACGTTTGGGGTGCTGCCGCTCCGACTACATTATCCATGCTCCATGCTGTCCAGAGGAGGGCGGTCCGACTGATCGATGACTCTTCTCTAACAGACAGTCTCGGGACTCTTTCGCATCGGCGGGCTGTCGGCGATCTGGCTCTTTTCTACCGTTACACCAAGATGCCGTCGCGCGATGTGCCTGCCAGACAGACCCGCCTAACTTTGGCGTCCCGAGGGTGTTGAGATTGTGGAATAATCTACAAGAGGGGGCTTTTCCCATTTCTATTAACCTTAGGCAGTTCAAAAATCGTATTAATAAAATTTCTTTGGGATCATCATAGCAGCCGCAGTGTTCCGGCATTTGGGCTTCTGCCTGCGCGGCTGCTTCGATATAAAAAAAAACAATGGAAAAATATTTCGCCATGAACTTAACTTCCTAATTTGTAAACCATATACTATGTGTGAGTTCTACAATTCACTTCCTTGAGATCCAAATATGTAATTTTGTTTAGTTCAAAGTTAAGAATGATTGTATTCTTCAGACAAAAAAGCATATCTATCTATTCTGGCACCATTATTTGTCATATTTTTTTATTCACCATGTGTAGATTGGGGTGTAATCGTCTGATGTATCTTGAACACGCTCATTTCAACTACATTCTCGCCCGACTGCACTTACCACAAGTTCTGTCAGTTCCAAGGAATGCTTCACAACATCTCTGACCAAATTGGCAGCGTTTCTTCTCACCTGGTTACAGGGATGTGCAAGATGTAGCAGTACCGAAGGGAATATCTCAGCTTCTACTACTGTCTCGGCAAGATCCGTGCTATGTTTAGCACAAGAGCTCAAACAGCATAGGATCTGCTTCTTCAGTCTTTCGTCGGTGTTGTTAAGGTTCTTGGCCAAAAATGGTATGACACCTGCGCAAGAATCAATATTCACATAAACTTTATTCGTGAATTAAAACTTTTCTTCTTGGACCTTGTTTTTCGTCGTCATTTCCATTTAAGATACTTGGCTGAAAGAACTGTTCAAGGGACCTCGCAGAAAACTACCTGCTAATTAAAAAAAAATGTGTATTGTAGATAACAACACGAAGAACTGAAGTGTCCAAGCTTGAGGCTGTTCTCGAAGAAAAAGCTGTATACAAAAGTTATAGGGTCTAATAGAAAATGTTCATGTGATATTTTTTTATCTACCCGGTGTCTTGGAAGATGCTAAAGTTGTATATTTGAAATGGAATACCCTGTATATTTTCTGTATGAATGATGTTTTTTTATGATTCCAAATATACTCGTATACCGTTTGTTAGGCTCATTTTTTATTACTTTAGTCATAAGCTTGAAGATTTCTTCTGGAATGTCATATAAAAAAGCTATTTATGGCCGGACACTCCAAACATGTGTAAAATATTATGTTTACGTTATTATCATCTCTACTAGCCAATTCGCAAACATTGCAATTCTATTACGTATACAGAGTGACCCAAACTTGCATGTATGTAATATTGCTCCTAGTACGGGAGCCCTAGCCATTATAGTGGTGGGGGGAAACTTCTGCAGGTTGTCAAAAATGTAACAAAAGTTAGAAAGTTAGTCAAAACATAGCAATACTCGAGTACGTCGGATATTGATATCGTTTTTGCCTCACGTGATATTGGAGGTACGATAAGCTACCGGTTTGTGCCGGGTGGGCTATTAATAAAGGATGCCGGCCGTATTTCGGCAACCAGTCAACCTAGATCTACCGATTAAGACATTTTATAACAAAAGTGGCCAAGAAAAATTGCTGGAAATTATTTTCAGCTTCCTAAAATGTCCGCTGAAAGGCGAAATTCTAACCTCAAAATTAATCAAATTGGTATTATTTTTCATTATCCAGGAAGTGCACGAAACATCTTACGAACTAGTAAAAACCGCATGTCGCTATATTAATTGGTTATAAGGTTTCTTGTTTGCATGTTTGTAACCTTCCCACTCCTTTACGTCACACTTAAATTGTCAGATTATTGAAATACACACTTTTCAACATATAATTTACCCGCCTTATTTGAGTCTCACGTCCAGGAGTATTCAAAACCATCGATTTTTTTACTATTTTGATCGGCTTATATATAAAATATTTTTTTTAAATCAGACTCATGCCGATCATATCAAGTTTGGAAAAAATCTTCGAAAAAGTATTTACAGCTATATTAGTTTTATATATTGAAAAATATACCTTCTAGATGTCTTTTGTTTAAATGAAAATACACTTCCATGCATGATGCTATAAAATTATTAACTTCAAACATTATTGATAGCTTAGATGAAGGCAAACACACAATACAAGATACAAGTCGAGATCCGTGAGATGGATTATAATATTCTTACGTATTTTTAGACGTTGAAGTTTCTAAACGCCTGGGATCAAAAACTACCTCTAGAAGGCGTGAAGTATTTCCGAATTTGGGGTTAACGAAAGTTTCGAACCCCTAGAATTCACTCCCGGGTCCATTAACTACTTAAAAAATGGCGTCCAGTAGATTGACTATGCACTTCCTACGCAACGCCGTCATTAGTGCATAAAGGATTAAGTCAGTCAAACAATTAGTCTATGGACATTTTTGCCGTGCCCTACCAGTAGTTACTGTCCACCTGGCAACGCTGCCCCCTCCCACATCTCCGCGGCAGCACCCACCGCGGCACCGCTGCAACTGGTTATGGTTTATTCCATGTATATGAGGTGTACTAGTTAGCAGGACTACTCAGATTGAAAACATTACTCATTTTAAATTGTGAAGGCAAATGTACGGGGAAATCTATGGTGTCGGAAATATGGCTAATAGGTGCATGGAATTACCGGGGTTGGGAGTGTATAAATATACTAACATCTAAAAATTTTCATATACCCTCCCCCAGACCCAACTCCAGAATTGCAACCCCTACACAAATTTTTCTGAAAATGATCAGGAGCCTTTGAAGTTCGAGCGACTGCCACTGGACCGATTTCCAAAAATGCTGTTTCGTGCTTGAAGTAGTAGTGACCTTATGTGAAAATTTCATCCAAATCCGAGCAGTACTTCCCAAGTTATGGGCGGTCCAAAGATTAGCGGACAGACAGACGGAGAGAGAGCAACAGACATACTGACTGACGGAAATGAGTTTTTCGCGATGCATATGTCATATAACATCCGAAAACAATAATATCTCATTTTAGAAATTCTTCGCGTAAGAAGTAAAACGGGTGGGAAATTCACTATAGGGTGGCAGATGCTGTGATGTGAACTCAGTTTATAACTCTTAAGTAATAATAAATAACACAAATTGTAACAAATCTAAGCAGATAACTATGACTACTCTAACTAAAATTTAATTACAATTGCACGCAAAGAACACAAGTAAATTAAAAACAATTTATTTACACAGTGTACCTAAAGTAAACCAAATGAAAAACCAATAAATCAAACAAGTTTTCTATTTATCGATCGATACTTTTAACGATAACGGATCAAACAACCAACTAAGAACAGTATTTTGAACCTATAAGCATAACAAAGAAACAACCTTGTATCAATTTACAATAGAACACAGCTATCCTAACTTAATAACTCTATTTATTCACTATACTGAAGTGAAACAAAAAACAAACAAATAAGTAAGTGTAAAGTCATTTCCCGGGATAAAACGAAGCTGTACTATACTATAGTCTATGGCTGTACCAAACTTCATCTAGATCCGTTCAGTCATTTTGATGTGATTGATGACAAACATCCACACATTCTCATTTATAACACTAGTAGGGAATATACCATATTCCAGAGTAATACGCTTACCTGAATCGACGATGTTTTGTGCTAATTCTACACTATGTCTGGCAATATCAGACAGTGCACTTGTAGCGATTTGCTTGAGATTCAACTCAGGCTCCTGGAGACACAAAAGTAACAAAGGTACTGCTCCTGCGTCAACGCAAGCCTGAGCTAACATCTTGTTATGTCGAGCTATATAACCTGTAACACAGGAAATGAGAAATGGCTAAGGGACAACACTCCTACCTCAGACAAAGTTATATAAATAATAATATACGTCTGTCGATAAAACCACCTGATTCCCCTTTTCACAAGCTTGGTACAAACCGATTCCCCAAGCAGCGGCCTCTTTCACAGTGGCTTCAAAGTCTTCCAAACAGTTGATCATGGCTTGCAATCCTCCGGCGTTTATGATGTTTGTAGTGTTCGTGTCACTGTGCTTGCAAATGGATCTCAACACGAGTAGGATCGCTTTCTTTTGATATTTACTACCTAAAAAAAATATAAGAGGGTGTGAAGTTATGTAAGGATCAACGAAATCCTGATGATAGAAAACCTGAATACCTATCGGATTAACACCTATACAAGGTGAAAGGTGTCATAACGAAAACGAAAGCTTCTTCTATTCGTCATTGTCTGTCAGAGCGGTCCGTAGGACCTTTGCTCTTGGTTGAAGTCTTGTAAGTCAGTGGGTCTGTCAGGTCTGGTTGCCCAGATACCAAACAAAGTCAGGGAGAAAGAAGGGAAGAAGGAAGGAAGGAAGGAGGGAGAGCAAAGAAAAAAGAAGTGCATCAATTTGAGGGGTGCCTTGGCATTGCTAGTTAGTATTCGGCAATTTTAAATTGATCCTAAAATTAATTTTGGGATTGGTTGTTGAAGAAAAATTATAATTTTGGTTGGACCTAAAGTCGCACGATTTAATTTTGTTCACAGTGCGAGTCGCGGCTTTGTGTGCTTGCGAACTTGCTCGACTGTGTAGTCTACTGACTCGCGCAACAAAGGGTTGCTATGCGATTGTGCTTGACTGTAACGTAGCTGCGCTTGTTGTTTAATGTAGTCCCTTAGGTAAGGGATGTCAAGGTCTCTGTGAAGGGTCTCGTTGGAAACATACTATGGGGCGTTAGTGATTGTACGCAGGGTTCTGTTCTGCAAAACCTGCAGGCTACGCAAATGCGTTTTGGCGAGAAAACACCAAGCCGCACTTGCGTAAGTGATCGCTGGTCTAATAACCATCTTGTATAGTCGAACTTTGTTGATCGAACTTAATTTTGATGTTCTACATAGCATAGGGTAGAGTTGCCGAAACGAGATTTGGAATTTAGTTTTTAACGCTTCAGTGTGCTTCTGCCAGGTTATCCTCTTGTCAAGAGTGACACCGAGATACTTAGCAGAGCTTTCCCATGGTACCCGAGCTCCATTCACTGAAACCTCAGACGGGGCGCCGTTACGTTTTTTAGTACAATAGATTGCCTGCGTTTTCGAATGATTAATTTTGATCAGCCACCGATTCACCCATAACAATACCTCGTCCACTGCACTTTGCAGCCTGTCGTGAACTAGATCCCCAGAGCACGACTGGGCCACCAGGGCAGTGTCATCAGCATAGAGATAGGTTTCACAGATGCTGGGGCAAGGGACGTCATGAATAAAAAGTGAATAAAGGACTGGTCCAAGAACCGAACCCTGAGGGACGAAAACGAAAGCTGTTTTACAGAAAAACTGTGAAGGATATTAAAAAATGTCTTTCGCAGCCATATTGATATTTCATAGGTGTATGTTTTAAATTATTCGAAAATATACAGGGTGTTGCACAATTCCGTGGCACAACCTTTCCAAAACAAGAATAGTGATATAATACATTATAGGCCCACGGTACCCAATGGGTGCTTAGGCCTTAGGCCTTCGTTGTAGTTGGAGTATAAAAAAAATAGGGTTCTGATCATCATTTATTTATTTATTTAATCATTTGGCTGAAAAAATGTTTATCTTTGAAGGCTCTGGATTTCGCCATTTTGATATGATCTGTTTATACAGCGTGGTGCAAAGCGCAAAATGTTTTTCTCAAAAATTTTGAATGGAACACCTGTATATTTGTACATTATCAGATATATCTAGCTTGTTTCGGCTAGATAATGTAGTTTGCATCATTTTTTATTCTCTCTCCAAAATTCAATGATAAACGACTCAAAATGACAGAGTCCAAGCTATCAAAAGTAGGCATAATTTCGATAATGATAAAATAACTAAGTAAATGAGGATCAAAAACCTATAGTGCATTATGTCAATCTTATTTTGGGGAGGTCTTTCAAGATATCTAGTAGGATATAGGGTGTCCCATTGAAAAAAACAACTAATTATAGGTCAGGATTGCGACAGGAGATAATTATTTCATTCGTTTAGGATTTGAACTTTGAATCGTTTGAATGAAGGAACTTGCAACTGCAAGTACCTAATTGAATGCGATTGTCCTGGAGACAAATAAATGCCATCTTGCAACTGCAAGAGCTTGCGCTTAATGATCTTGCAGAGTGTAAAACCGTTTTCATAGATGGCATCTTTTCCCTGAAATGACCACTGCGAAGTCTAGAAGTTCAGCCTGATTTCCTAGATTGGGAGAAACAAAAATACATAGTGAATAACATACCTATTGTCAGACTATTCAAAAATATGGGCACAAAGTTCTGGTCTAACAATTGATCAGCGATTTGTGCATTGTTGTGGACAAGCCTGCCAAGTGCAACAGCTGCGCATTGCTGTATCTGGGTACAGGGATCTGTTAGCAGTGGCCTGAGCAATTCCAAGATACCAGCATTATATAAGAGTTCACAGTTTTGTTCTCTTAGTGCTAAGTCGCCAACACATTGCACGAATTGTAGTCTAGCCTTCTGGTAAGTGTCGAATGTCTGCAAAATTGTTCGGCTCATTTCTTGAATACTTTTAAAATCTAGTTCAGCTCAAAATTATGTCATATATTACGTCAAATTTAAAGGTTAGACATGTTCAGCAGACGTCAAGCTATTTTTTAGTGACTATACAGAGCCATCCGTTTTGAGCTCGCTAAAAAGCCCTAAATGCTCGTAACTGCAAAAGGCTTTTTCGTCAGATCACTATGTGACTCTTGACGTTCAATACAGCTTTCGGTCCGAGCATAGTACCGAGCTACAGGCTGATGAAACATGTACCCAGAGGGCTCACCCTCAGCATAAGTACTGGCATCTTGCTTTTGGATATCCCAAAAGCCTTTGACAAAGTTGTGACACGCGGGCCTCCTCTGTAAACTAATCCAACAGGGTTTTCCTCTTTGGTTTCTAAAACAACTTAAATCCTTCCTTGAAGGAAGGAAGTTCCAGATTAAAATTAGCAAAGTTTTGTCAACAACACGGCCAGTACGGGCCAGTGTTCCTCAGGGCTCGGTCGTAGGATCAATCCTTTACTCGCTTTTTATTCACGACATCCCTTGCCACAACAACTGTGAAGTCTACCTCTACGCTGACGACACTGCACTTGTCGCCCAGTGTGTACTGGTGTCTGGTTCATGATGGGTTGAAGTGCGCGGTGGAGAAAGTATGTTCTAGAGTGGGAGGAACGGTGGCTGATTAAAATTAATGATTCGAAAATGCAGGCTATTTATTGTACCAAAAAACTTCGCTTCCATCAACCGAGGTATTGGTAGGCGGAAATCGTATACCATTTAAAAATTCTGCCAAGTATCTCGGTGTCACCCTTGATAAAGGCTTGGCCTGGCAGAAACATACAGCAGCATTGAAAACAACATTGTGTTTCGACAACTATAGTTAGACTATAATCCCGAAAAAGTGTGCAATATTCTACCAGCGGTTTCTAGAGCTTAAAATAGGAAGAAAAGTTTATATAAACATAGGTCGACAAACGTCCCCTAAGGGCGCTACGGTCTTTTAAAGGGGCTCCCCTGAGGATGATTTTTCCTTAATTTTTCCGAAACGTGTTGAGATAAAGACATAAAATTTGGTATTCTAGCCTAGTTTTTTATGCTGCATTTAATAATATCAACAACTTTAGACAGTTTTGTTTGGAAGCGTATGTAACATGGACGGACTCAGGTTATTTTAGCCCCAACATTTTAGAATTTGAAAATTTAGGGTTCATAAAAATAAAATCAAACTAAAAAATTTGTCACATGATAGGAAATGTATTGCGAATTTAAATGAATTGTTGATTATACATAGTTAGCCACGACTGCAAACAAAAGTTGTTTTGATTTGTTATGACTTATTTTGACGTTAAGCTGACATTGTTAGCATGCAAATTACTAGATTAAAATCAAAATTTTTATTAAATCGATTTAAAATGCCAAGATTTACAGACAGAGAACTGACTGACATGCATTTTGTGTACGGGTTTTGCAATGGCAGTTCGTTGGCAGCCGTAAGAGAATATCAAAGAAGATTTCCCAATCCCATAGTACCTGGACATCGAATGTTTACTGATATTCACCGGAATTTGTCAAACCATGGAAGTTTTCATCGCATGCAGGGCTCAGGAAGGCCACTGGGAAATCATCGTATGGATATTGCTTCAAATATGTTTGAAAATAATCCGCAAATAAGCATACGAAGTGTTTCAGAAATTATGGATATACCTCGATCAATAGTAAGAAAAATTTATGAATACCTATTTTTTTTTTTTTTATTTAACAGATAGTACCGCATCAACCTCGTAGGGTTATTAGCGGCGTGGACGTCACAATAATCTATGTATTGAAGTACATGTCAATGTCTTTGATAAATTTCACAAGTTTATCGGTTTGATGCAGTAACACTTCACTGATGTCATTAGAAAGGTGGTTGAGACTTCTGGCATTTTGATAAGTAGGACACTCCATCAGGATGTGAACCACCGTGAGCCGCTGGTTGCACGTTGAACAAACTGGAGCATCGGTTCCTTCGAAGACGTGCTTGTGAGTCACTAGTGTGTGGCCTATCCGGAGACGTGACATAATTATCTGGTTCCTTCTTCCTGAAGGTAGTGTGAATCGCGTGTTGACATCTGGAGCAATTGCGAGTAGTTTGCTGTGACTGCCATTCCATTTCTGTTGCCAAAGACTGGTTATGTGCACTTTTATTAGTCCTTTCAAATCTTGGTAGGGTGTACGAATCACACTTCTGCTTGAAAGGACTGCCGCTCTTGATGCTTCTTTGTCAGCCTCTTCGTTGCCTGGGATTCCAGTATGTGAGGGTACCCACAGAAACTTTATCCTCTTCTTGTCGTTGTATAGCAGACGCAGTATGTCCTTAATTCCCCTGAGTATGCAGTTGCGAGGGTACAACTGTTTGATACCTTCCAGTGCACTCAGCGAATCCGTCATTACTAAGAAGTTGGCATCTGTTGTTGTTCGTGCCAGATTGAGCGCTTCCTTGATGGCTGTCAGCTCTCCAGTGTAGACGCTGCAATGTTGTGGTAGTGAAGAGGATATTCGTTGATTGTCAGAGACTGCGGCATAGCCAACCCCATGTGATGACTTTGAGGCATCTGTAAAAATCAGTTTGAAGTTCGGATGAGACTCGATGATGACTTGGTATCTGTTATATATTTCTCTATGGTTTGTTTGCATTTTTTGATATATCTTGAGGGTTGTGTCGAAATCTGGTAGTGGTACTGTCCAGGGTGGAGAGTTTGATAAACAAGGGATAGAATACCTATTTGATAGTTATCCTAAAAATAATAATTTTAGATAGGAAGAATGACAAGAATGCCAGGATTACATCCTTATCATTTTAAACGGGTGCAGCATGTAACGGAGGCAGATTTTATACCACGAATCGAGTTTTGTCAGTGGATATTAGCAAAAGAAAACACTATTCCTAGAATATTATGGTCGGATGAGTCAATATTACTAGGAATGGTGCTTTTAATTTCCATATCAGGTAGGAGTAATTGGGGATCAAGTAATTGGGCCTATTGTACTTCCCAATCGTCTTAATTCAGAGGTGTATCTGAACTTTCTTCAGAATGAGCTCATGGATATAATACCATTGGATGTGCGCCAGCAGTTTCAAGAAAATATGTTTTTTCAACATGATGGCGCCCCCGCACATACTCGACTGAAGTAAATACTCAAGAAGAAGATTTACTTCAAAGAATCCATCGGGCTGCAAATGAAATAAGAAGAAAAAGGTTTTCCTCTTTTCGGGCTACGTAATCATTAGTTCGTCGAGCGAGACTCTGTATCCAACAAAATGGGAATTTATTTGAACACTTATTGTAAAGCTAGTTTTAAGTATATCCAACTGTATGTCTTCTTGTTTAAACAAATTTCAATTTCGTTTGTAGAAAAAAATTATTTCTTTTGTTTTTGCCTAAATGTTAGCTATGTTGCAATAGAAATATGTATTTATGTAATATTTACCATTTATTAAATTTGTTTTTTCGTTGCCATGGCTAATTATTCAACAATTCATTTAAATTCGCAGTACAATTCCTATCATGTGACAAATTTTTTAGTTTTTTATTCAAAAATGGCACAATTTATCGATATTCAATAAGAGTACCTTTTTATGTAGAAAACCCTAAATTTTCGAATTCTAAAAATAAATTTCAAAAATAGAATCACACAAAAATTTTGGGGCTAAAATAACCTGAGTCCGTTCCTGTTACATACGGTTCCAAACAAAACTGCCTAAAGTTGTTGATATTTTTAAATCCAGCATAAAAAACTAGGCTAGCATACCAAATTTTATGTCTTTATCTCAACACGTTTCGGAAATATTAAGGAAAAACCATCTTCAGGGGAGCCCCTTTAAAAGACCGTAGCGCCCTTAGGGGACGTTTGTCGACCTATGTTTATATAAACTTTTCTTCCTATGTTAACCTCTAGAAACCGCTGGTAGAATATTGCACACTTTTTTCGGGACACCCTGTATAAAATGATTATTAGACCAGCCATCACTTACGAGTGTTAATGCGCGACTTAATGTTTTCTTGCCAATAGACACAAGGCAAAGTCGTCCAGTACTGTAAAGCAGAGCTTTACGAACAACTTGCAACGCTCCATGGCATGTCTCAAATGATCCACTACACAGAGACCTGGGTATTCCTTACTTGAGGGATTATGTCAAGCTTCAGGCGCAGCGACGTAATAGTCAAGCGGAATCATACAGCAACCCTCTGTTGCGCGACTCAGTGAACCACACAGTGGAGCAAGTTCGTAAACGTTCAAGGCCACGGCTCGGACTGAGATAAAAAATCAGCGCACTTTAGTAAACTCAAAATTACACTCTAACAAAACCTGAATCAAAATTTCTTTTTAGTTCACCTCAAAATCAATCCGTGTATCAAGTCCAAAAGTCTAGGTGTTTCTTCTTAAACTGATATACTTCTGTTCTTCATTGCGTTTCTCCTTTTTTCTTCTCTCTTCCTTTCTCTTTTTTCTTGACAATGTCTGGTTTCTGGGCAACCAGGACTGACAGATTCGACTAACGTACATTATACAGTGACAAATGGGCAAAGATCCTACCGACCGCCCAGACAAACAAATGACGAATAGTATGCAACTGCAAAAGACAAATTTTATTTAAATCAAAGTCAACCAATTTATAACCAAACGTGTTATTTTCATAACAATGACGTTGGTTGAGACCTGGTTCTAAATTTTTAGAACCGGCCTGCTGGCAGGGAATACGTAGTACATCATACTGTGAACCTATCAGTAATATACAGAATGTCCTGTATTTTCATGTAGAGAAGTAACGTTTAACGAAGTACGAGACATAATCGATAATTCAAAGAATAAACCGAGTCGTGACATTTATGGCCTGAACGTAAAATTAATAAAAACAATAAAATACATCATCTTATTACCATTAACTAACCTTATTAATATGTGCTTAAAAACATATCTCCAGACTGCCTCATGCTGGCTCTTGTAAGATCGATTTTAAAAAAAGTTGGTCCTACAATATCTCTCTTCCTAATTATCGAAAAATACATGGCCACTCAAATCAGAATTCTTTGGGACAAATGGATTTTTTTCCGAAAAGCAGTTTGGTTTTAAAGCAATCAGACGCAATCCTTGATCTGCTGTCAGGTGTGATGAAGGCTTTTTACACGAAACAGTAAAATTGCCTTGTCATAGTTTTTCCTCCAATATTGGTGGAGTCCTATCTACAATAGTGATATCAAGTAGTAAATATTGATGGTGTGACAACTGAAAAAAGGAGTACCACAAGGTTCTGTCCTAGGCCCCATACGCCTTCTTGTCTGAGGTCTCCCAAATGATGGGATAATGCCCAAATATACCCTCTTTGCAGATGACACATCAATATCTCCTGCAGCTATCTCTCTGATGGCAGTAATGTGGTGTGAATTGGAAAAAGCCAAAATTTGGATTTATTCCAACAAGTTGTTGCTAAATGGCGGACGAGCTAAGCAAGTTGTGTTCCCTACGAGAGAAATAAATATCCAAAATGAAAATCAAATTAAATTTTAGGTGTGGCGCTTGACTCTAAGCTCCAATGGAAAAGCCACATTGATGTTTTACCCATAAAACTTTCTCAGAATATTCATGTCCCTCTCAACTTATTGCGACAAAATGAGATCTATACCAAACCTTCGAAGATGTTCACGAGGGTCCTGGGCAATTTAATTATTCAAAAATTGCCTCTAAATGATTTGAATTTTTTGTTCCAAAATGCTTTCCACGAAACTAATTATTTTCTAAATACTGATTTTATCGTGTTGTGATAGTTGAAAACTTTTAAGCGTAATGTACCATGTAAGTGGCTTTCATGTTATATGATAAGATTTATTTTATGTGATATGACGATTGTAAACAATTTTTTGTATTAACATGAATAAAGAAATGAAATTCAATGGTTGATAGAATTGATCAGATTGAGTATTCGGGCATCGAAGCCACCCTAAAAACAAAACGTTCCGCTCTGATAAAATTAATTCTAAGCTACAGCTCATAATGAAATCGATTGAAAAGTTAATTCCCAGCAGTGAGGGTAATTTGTATTTCAGTGATAACTTTGTCGCGCGGATACGAATCAGCGTGTGCACGACCTTCGCTGCCGCGCCGGTGGAGAAAACTTGATGAAACTCCGGCGTCTCGCGCGGAGTTGCGCGGCCAACTTTGCGCACGCGCCTGGAGCGGTCCGTCGCTGCTCCTGCAGCTCATGCTTAGGAGCCAGTCTCGATTTTGGGTCGAATCCGGGGTACGTACACCTACATAGCGGTCGGCCTTTCACGGAGACTTTCAATCTATTGACTGAAAACCTGACCTTTTTCCATTCCTTATGTGAGAAGATAAGTGCGAGCGCGAATCTTGTGCTTTGGTACCTGTTTCTTGTTACACTAGGTGAGTTTTTTGGTGATATTTGAGAACTCCAGTGTCCGGGTGACATAACAGATGATCTTGACGTTACGCTGGTACTGAGAAGCTGCGAGTTTTGTATCGAAAGCGAAAGTGCCTTCATGTCATGTCATTTGTCATGTATTTTGAAGTTATTGCTGAAAATCAGAACGTTGCAAAATAGATGAATATAATAATTCACATCTGACAGCAGAGAAAGTTTTCCACTTTTGACAAAAAGCTATTGAACTGATAAATATGTGAAACATCAAGTGCAATGAAATTGGAACGTAGCCATTATTACAATTTCAATAATATTTGTTCTTATTTAGCTGCGATTATCACTAAATCAGTAAAATTTGTCATTCTATAATTTTCTCCCCATTTCCTCAACCAATCCACCTCCTTTCATCTGCATGGGTGCCCATTAGGGGTGGCAAGGCGGTATATGCCCTACTAGCTTCCAGTTAACAATATGGTATGCTTAATAGGGTATCCATTTCTTAAGCAACGTGTTACGTATTTTTTTTGTTTTCGAAGCTTCCGCAAAAATTACATTGACAGATCTGAATTGTGGAGATGTGCCGCCCCCTCTCCCCAGACGATCAAGCCGATGAATAGATATAGTAATTTTTAAAAAATACATCCAATCCGACTGCTGTAACTGAAAAGAATGAAGAATCAATTGTGATATCAAAACGAATCTAAGGACAGTTCAAATGTCCAAATTCATCATGTTCTTTGGCTCCAGCCCGCGAAATAGAAATCTCAAAGGTGAAGATTGCGTTAAAAATTCGCCATTTTTATTATATAGAAATCTAATATATCCGGTGTTAGTCGCACTGCCAAAACAAATCTAAAGACATCTGACGTCAAAATTCATCAAGCCATTTAAGCTGCAGCTAGTATAACGGGAAAAATTAAATTTTCGCTTAAGAATCAATTGTACTTTAAAAAACTAATAAAGCCTGCTTCAATAGCAATTCGAACTAAAAAGTAGAATAGTTATTTACCTAACAAGTGCGGAAAGTGATACTTCTCCGCGGAGTTCGGGCAAGTCGTCAAGGGCGGAAAATACACTTTCCGCACGTGTTAGGTATAAGATTTTTTTTTAACAGCTCAGCGCGAGAAAATAAGCCCAGAGATTTAAATACGTACTATGTTTTATTAGAAATTTAATAATTGTAAAATCAACATCATCAACAACAACATCAATAACTCATTTATAATAATTATTAACAACATTAAAGCTAAAAGAACAGTTGTTTGAATTACGAAAACTTGTAGCCGTTCTCGAAGCAGAACTAGTGCCGCCGGCGTCGCTTTCTTCTAAAGGGTCTGCCAACATTGTGGTAGAAGATCGCCGAAAGCTATGGCCGGTATAAAGCTAAGAATTGGGTAATCCCGAGTAACCGGCGATTTCAGCGGTCATTTTCCCAAAGGTATTAGGTTTCTTCGGGTTTTTATCATTATCGTACTGCATGCGCAGAAGAAACCGACGTGTTCGAGTTTCTCCTGGATTACCATCGGACCGTATTAGAACTGAAATTTTTTGTTCGCGTTATATTCTGCTTTAGTTATAGGATGGTTCGAGAATCGTTCAAGCAGTTCTTGCATTACTGCCGGGATCATTTTTGAAGTGATTTTTCACATGCGTATTCCTTCTGCCAATGTCATTAAAATTATTTGACGTGTTTTGCTTCAAATGCTGTTTACTTTTTTGCCGTTTGAGGAGTATTTTTTATTTAAAATTAAAAGAAAAGTGGACAAATGGATCCAATGCAGATCATTTGGGATTCTGATTCATCATCATCATCGTCGTTTGACAAAACTTTTGTGAAAACTTTATAAGAAAGAAGTGTGCTTATAACTACTGTAAAATGTTCTCTTCTCTTATCTTCTTGTTCCGTAGTCTTGGATTCAGGCTGTTCTGGTTTTGGCAAAATTCTGACAGTACATGGACTGTTCATAACTGCTTGAGTGATCTTCCCCTTTACGCATTTAGTCTTGCGCAGTTCCAGAACCGCACAGGTATCACGTATCTTGAAAAGTGACATTATGCCGATTTTTTTTGACATAATGCTGGTTTTTTTTGACATTATGTAGGATATTCTACAAGATGTTAATTTAGCACTTAGTTGTACGTGTTGCTTAAACGTCATGAGGCTTGTTATCAATCTTTGGCTCTGATGTGATGTAAAATCTGCTTCTGAGATGGCATTACTGGAGGTCTAAGCTGTAAGTTGTATGTGTTGATGATAATTACATTGGGTTCTTGTCTCAAATACACTTAATTGAAATTCAAAGCTAGAAATTAGTTGCGCATCCAATTTTTCTTATCCATTCTGGAAATTACATACATACACAAATTTGCTGAATTTCAAAAATGAGAGAGATAAGAAATAATTATATTCACTTACAAGCCATAGAGGAAAGGAACCAAATTTGAGATACTTTTTTTGAAAAGGAAAAATAAAGTACTTGTTGTTTTAAAGGAGCGTATATTTTTAAATGAACTTGCGATTTGATGCTCCTAGCATTAAATGTATTTTTTACAAACAAAAAGTATATTTTAAAAAAAGTAAATATTTTTGGGAATTTACAGCTGGTTCTCTAATTTGAGATACTAATCAAAAAATCCTTTCCTTTTGCAGAAAGTGCAAATGAAAATTTGATTGGTAATCTCTTCACAATTTTTATGTGCCTATCTACTACAATGGCTGTATTTTTCCTATTTTTCACCCTTCTTATCTTCGGAAAATCCACCCGTACAAAATAAACATTCAGCATCCCCGTCATGTTGCTCTCGCCTGAAGATGAATCATCCATCTTAAAGCTTTCATTCTGAACTTGAACTGGAGTGGGAAGGTATCTATCCGAATCCTTTTGAGGCTTTTAACTAATCTATCTCCTTTCTGTTGTGTTTCCAGGCATCTGCATCTATTTATATACCTAATAAAATCACAAAATAGTAAAATAAAATAAATAAGGTATTTGTAAACTACTAAATTTATATCAGACAATTGTTCTAAGTAACTTACCTTAATCTTAGTAATCACTTTTCTCGCACTATTAAAAATATTTTTACCTCTCCAGAAGTAATAAGTTGTGATGTCACAGCAAACCATGTGCAAAACTAAACTGTAAACACATGTAGAATACTACTGCGTCTTATTTCACAACTTTGTGGTATTACTAGAAAATGCTGCCACAAAGATACAAAGTTACACCATTGTCTCAAATTACGCGCTTGTCTCAAATTTGGTTCCTTTCCTCTATACATGCTAACAGTAATTACACACAACGCGGACGCGGTGATGATTTCCCGTAATTTTCCTCAGTTTTTCGTAATTTATAACTTTGAACATAACCTCTCTTCAGAAAGCACAACATAGAAATACCCCGTCGGGCACAGCCAATAGATATACTTCATTGGCAGCATATTAAGTAATGATTTTCTCACACAACAAATATCACTGATTTTATACAAATGCAGAGCAATACACATAATCATCCAGATGCGATCTTGCTATTCAACCAACTTTCTTCTCAGAGATAAAAACTTCAAACCTGGATCACTCAGCCTCACAAGACGATGCAACCGAAAATGTGTAGTTTACTTGAGTGATTCCTCCATAGATGGACGTTCACAACGATCTTAGTGAGCAAACGTGGAATGACTGTTTGCGCCCTAAAAACTACCGAGTCTGCAAGTTGACATCTTATAGGTTGTTTTTGACGTTTTGTAGGTTTTTTACATGCTACCCGTGCCGTTATGTGACAGTACTGAATTTAGAACTCGAAAAAAGCTATTATTGTATGAAAAGTATATGATGTGGTGTGGATTGTGGACTAATTGATACATATTTGCGGTACAGTGCTAAATATTTACCATTTGAGGATTCTTCCGATATCACGAACATTCTGGTGAGGTGCGTTTTGGAATTAGGGATCTTTAATATCAAACACGTATCTTTTTCTTCTTTATCGTCGACTACCATTCGTATGTGTACAACTAGCTACTTTTACCATGAGGTAAATATCATCTGGAGGATTATTGAAAAAATTGGCCATGTCTGCTTTCATGAAAATTTTCAACATAGAATAGCGTGACGCGATAATGTTGTTACTGCAATAGAAAGTCAAATAATCAAGTATGACTAATTAATTTGATTTAAGATCAATATAAAAATTAAGATATCAACAAAAGATCAATTATAGTAAAAAATCGTGGGGTGCGTGATACTAAAAGTTAGAATTATTTTTTCAGTTGCTATTTACAAAACTGGAGTTATAGTTAATTCCACCACACGCATTTTTAATATCATTGAATTTCTTGTTAATATCTTAATTTTCACAGTGATCGTATTTCAAATGAATTAGTCATACTTGATTATTGGATTTTCTATTGTAGTATTTAAGCGTATTTTTTAGTTTTTTAAATTGAAATTTATTCTCTGAATGTTTAGTCTCAAAAGAAAACAAAGGTACTTATGATCAAGAGCTTCGTTTTTTGTTATGTTTTATATTTGATAGCAAATCTAAATTTACTTCCAATTATTTTCAAATTTCTGAAATTCCAATTTTTAGCAAAATTTCCAAATCTTCCAAATATCAAATTTCTTCCAAGATTATTGTATTGTAATTGGCCCTTCAACTCTGTACAAATTTTCAGGTTAATCAAACTTCTTGAAATTGGTCAAAATTAGGTTGGAAGATTCCGTTAGATACATACATACTCGTATATACAGATCAAGTTAATAAAAGCGTGTTAAAAAGGACACCGTTGTGACCGAAACGTCGCACAATAAAAAGAAATTTACCTACCTACCTATATGTGGATTGACTCGGCCATATCAAGATAAGGGCTTAAAATCCGTCATTATGATTTTATAAAACTTTATTATGCCCAATGTCACCCGCGCTGTCAAGAGAAATCTAGAGACACCTCATATATTATGTCAAAATCCATCAACCTGTTTGAGAGACCGTTCAGGTTACGTAAGCTGATTTTGTTCAATTATTAACCTCTCCCGCACCCTCCTTGTCAGCATCTTATGATTACGTAAACGTTTTGATACATTTTACAATTGAAAGTATTGGCTTTCAAGCACGTATTCTTAATACCATTTAATATCTGGTAAATTTCCGGCAAACTCAAAATTTGACTTTCCTAAGTGTTCATTAATTGTAACGATATGTTAATTTAAATGAGACCCAAAATAATCATGAGGCAATATGAAACTAGTCAGTTAACGAGTAAGAGGATTTATATATTCTTTAGAGTGAATGTAGCTACCTGTGTGTGAATCTCGAAATAAAAATTCTGGGTAACTTTTCTAAGTTTCAAAGTTATAAGTCTATATAAGAATTGGGCATTGGATAAAAACACCTTCAAAATGGATATGTTCAGTTCTTTGCAACATTTTGTTGGTAGTTGCAAAGAATCATTCATTTTTTTGCCGAAAAGTGCATAAGAGTATGAGATAGTAATCAAAAGGTAAAGACATACAGGGTTACTTTTTAGTACCTAATTGGATAATATAATATCTCCATTATTATAAAACATGATCAAAAATGTTATTTACAAAAATTGCGCTACCTACTTGGAATATACCGCTCCCTACGGGGGACTCATACCGACAAGACGACAATAACAATTTTTTTCAAATGGAAAACCCTTTTTATATATTTTAGAAAATGCTTCTGAAAAGTTTTGACGCTTCAAGTATCTGCACAGATACACAGAAAAGGAAATGAGTTTACTCAAAATCGTTTCTAATTTTTTCTGAATTTGGTTAAGATTTCAAAATAAACTGCACATTGACATTGCTTCCTTTTGATCCCTGTGAGGTGGCATAAATAAAATATCAATATGTGTGATTTTACGTCTCTACTCTGATTTTTCTTATATATGTCATCTTTATTGATTTTTTTTTTCTTCAGTAAACCTTGAAATTATCATACAGTCATTTATTTCATAGAATATCAAAGATGTTAACATGTTACGCATTGACATAAAAATTCATGTCGGTTTATGCTCATCGATTGAGAAAAAACAATGTAACTCATTTATATTATTTAAGGGTAATCACGAAAAGGGTATAATTTAAAAAGCTGAGAGCTGAAACGTCAGATCGAAATACTAATTATGCCCCGTGTAGAAGAGAAAAAGTGGTAATAATACTGAAAATGTGGGTCCTTGAAAAGTTGTTTTTCGGGCTAATAAAATATTATATGAAATAAAATCGACCTAGAGTAAATTTGCAAATACTTTGAATTTCCAAACCGTCCAAGTTCCATTTTCTTTATTTGCCTACGCAACTTGCTTCCACAAAGTACTCCGCGTGGAATACTTATTTATTTATTTATTTATTATGAGATGTGATATTTATTGACCGTGTAGCCTGGACGTAAATAATTATTGATGCATAATCTTACGCGGAAATCCACTGATGGTACGAGGCACAGTAAATACTAATCGTGTGACATCCGCATTACCGTTTCCGAGACCCCAAAGGCGAGGTTCGCATTTGAAACACTTTATTATTATATCTAACATAGATTTCAACTAATTTTATAGTAATTTCTCACCTAATGGATATTGATTTACGTTGTGAAGAACCCTGTACATGAATAGTTTAGTTTTTGTAAAAAATGTCCTCTCCATTTAATTTTTGCCGAACTATGGGAAAGAGGGCAGCCCCTTGCCCCTTAGGTACGCCCTTGCTGGGTATGGATTCGAATTTTCAAAAATGCTTAGCGCACTCAATATAAATATCCCTGCCGTTACTTCCGACCTTGGTCAATCCTATGCCTGTCGAACCAGCACGGGCCAAGAGTTGGCCGAGAGGGAACGGTAAGGGATTATTGAATATTTCTTGTCGTAACAAACGTGAGATGTTCTGGGCAACCTTGCGTAATAACAGTGGGCAAGGCATTTCATTTAATAATGTCTTATGCCGTTAAGCTAAGACAAGTTAGGTTACTTTATAAATGCACCATAGGTGGAAAACGTTGAGCGCCAATGCATTCCAAACCGAACTATTCACAATAATGCTACTTTGATTCTTAATTGTTTCCAGATAATCCCGCATCGTAGACCCAACCTGTGGTGTTGCATCCGTCGAAATAAAAATAGCGAAGATGAACAGTATATGTTGTATCTCAGTTGGCTTTGCGAGTAAGCACAACAGCTGATAGGCGACAGTTTGAATCGCAACGGAGAATAGTTGAGCGCGTATCGGCGCCGTGACGGTACGGCGTCGAAGTTCAAAAAGTGGAAGAGGTCGTACGGCGACGTCGTTCTTGTGAATATTGCTACAGCAAGGTGAGTCTTCATATTAGTTTTTTTAGACCGGTTTCACCAAGCCGGGGCGCAAAATTGCGCGTAGGGTACAAACTCAACCAATGAGAAGGCGTTTTGCAGGTAATGGATCTAATGAATATAGGCAATTTTTTGTAAACTATCTCTCAAACTAGAGATTATACGATTTGCGGACTCGACCCGAGTTTTATCAATTTTTTATTACAAGGAGAAAACATTTAAAAATTGTTGAAAAATACTTTGTGGGGCCTTAAGAAACTATTGAGGTACGGATGATCTAAAAATTCACGGTTTTTCTAATACTACCACAAAACATTTAAAATGCAACTTTACGGTAAACTTTTTTTTTCTCTGATTGACGTTGCCGTAACAGGGATATATAGGGTGTTCCTTAATGATATCCGAATGTTTAAGGGTGTGAATCTACATGAAAAATTAATGTTAGTTTGCTATATAAACTATGGTCCAAAAATGTTTCCTTACAAAAACCCGGAGTGTTGAAGTTTTAGGAACAAAAATGGAAATTAATTAATATTTTCAGAACCGCTTCAGATATTTCACTGATATTTAGTACGTAGTGAAAGTTAATAAAGTTGCATATTTTTCAATGTAAAAATAGATTTTAGCTTTAACAGTGGCGTGCGTACGGGTATTGACTTCGATATTTAAAAAAAAATGGTGTCCCAACAGTTTTTTGCCAAATAATAATTATTTTTGAATTCCCCGTTCAATTTAAAACAAATAATCTCTCTTGAAAAATAAAAACCCTTCTATTGTTCGAGAAAATTAATGTAATAATTGAAGAATGCAATTTAGCAATAAATATCTAGTTGCTCTGGAATATTTCACTGGCTTTTGACATCTGACAAGTCTCTGTTATTCAAATCTGTCCGCTGTGACATCTTTTTCATTATTTAGTTTTTACAATTTTGTTAATAATGGTGAATTATTCAAATGCACAAATGGCGGAAATGTATTACGTATATGGCCTTGCCGACGGTAATGGTGAGCAAGCCAGAGGGATTTATCACCAGAGATATCCCGATCGTGCTTTGCCAGATAGTCGAACCTTTTCTAATATTCATTGTCGTCTTGTTGAAACTGGTTCTGTCCGAAAAGGAACATCTGAAGGTATACCTCTAAGTGTGAGAACACCTGAAATTGAGGATCAGTTCTGCACGAAGTCGAAGAACATCCTCAAACGAGTACGAGGAAGATCGCTAGACACTTAAAAATTTGCCATCAAATTGTTTGGAGTGGTTTTTTTGTTATATCCTTACCACATTTTAAGAGTGTAGGCATTACTTCCCATTGATTACACAAAATCCGCAATTTGAATCAATGATTCTGTTCATGGACGAAGCTAATTTTCTCGAAATGCCATTCAAAATTTCCACAATAATCATTTGTGGGCAGAAGAAAATCCCTATGTCGTAACCAAAACCCATTTCAAACACCAATTTTCGTTTAACATATGGGCAGGAATTATTGGCAACCACTTTATTGGCCCATTCTTTTTGCCGGGACAACTTGACGGACAGACACCTCAATTTTCTTCAACAACAGTTGCCTTTGCTGCTTGATGATGTTCCGTTAGTAATAAGAAACAATATGTGGTACATGCATGATGGTGCATCAGCGCATTTGAATGTAGCGGTTCGTAATTTTTTTCAAACTGTTTATCCAAATCGTTGGATTGACCGTGGTGGGCCCAAGAATGGCCACCAAGGTCCCCAGACCTCAACAGTTTAGATTTATTTTTGTGGGGCTATCGTAAGACACTAGTGTACACAAGTCCCATTAACACTGTAGAGGAATTAAGAGAAAGAATAGTTGCAGCTTGTGATAGAATAAAAAACACTTCAGGGATATTTCATTGAGTGCGAAAATCCATGAGAAGGAGGGCGGAAGCATGCATACTAAGTGAAGGGGGCCATTTTTAACAATTTATGTAATCATTTCGTTGGTTTAATGTTATGTTTATGTTATCAGTTGTTGTTGTTCATTACCCGTAATGTGTTTAATTTTTCCAATTAAATTAATAATAATTTTGCAAGTTAGACAATAGAACGGCTTTTATTTTTTTTCTCAAAAGTGGCGCATCAAAGGAAAACAATTCAAGATAGATTATTTGTTTTAAATTGAACGGGAAATTCAAAAATAATTTTTATTTGGCAAAAGACCATCGACGTATTATTTTTTTCTTAAAAAATATCGAAGCCAATAGCCGTACGCACGCCACAGTTGAAGCTAAAAATTATTTTTGCATGGAAAAATATGCAACTTTATTAACTTTCACTACGTACTGTATATCAGTGAAATATCTGAAACGGTTCTGAAAATATTAATTAATTTCCATTTTTTCCTAACACTTCAACACCCCGAGTTTTTGTACAACAAAAAGTGTACAGAGATACGACAATTTATGCACTATTTTGGCATTAATGTTCTAGGTTCAAAGCTTGGCTGTACCGTAAATGTTCAGGAAGAAAATATGTAATTGTGCTTACAAATAAGAGGTTACGCTTAAAGACCGACCGATTAATCGGCTTCGGCATCCGCTTCGACCACATGGACATTATTTAAGCCTTCGGCTAATAATCGGCTTCGGCTAAAATGAGGCCGAAGTTTTGGCCGAAGGCGAAAGTGAATTCGTCGATCGGCGCGTAGCGAATCTGAACGAGCTACGGTAATTTCTGAGGAGATATGTTCTTTAAAGTTACAACTAAGTGAATCATTAAACAAAAGATTCGCCTATATTCAAAACTTCCCAGAATTATTAATTGCGACTCTTCTGGATCCTCGGTTTAAGACTAAGCATTTGACAAAAGAACAGGTAGTTACATGTAAAGCTAAAATTGTATTATTTTTGAACAAATCAACCCCCAGTAGCTCTAATCCTACAAGTAATTCAAGTTCAAGTATAGTTTCCGCTAATATAGTTTCAACTCCATCATCATTAGATTGCATAAAAACTGTAGGTGTAGAAAAGAATAATCTTTGGGATTCACATGATAAATCTTGCAGTCGTTCCGACCACGATAGCAGAAACACGTTATCTAGATTACTTAGATTCCTATTTACGAGAACCGTTGCTTTTAAGAAGTGGTGACATATTCCATTATTGGGAATCCCTATCTTCCTTTAAAGATTGCATCTAAGAAGTTTTTATCGGCCCCCCCAACAAGTATAGCTAGCGAACAATTATTCAGTTCTGCTGGACAACTTTATGCTGACCGAAGGTCCAATTTACTAGGGGAAAATGCTGACTACTTTTTCTTACCTATAATATTAGAATGTTTAATTATGAATATTAATTTTGAATAATTAATTTTAATATTTTAAATCTTAATTATTTGTTATTTTTTTCCTATTACCAAAGGATATTATTTTAGTTTTTGCATGTTTTATGATTTTTTGGTACTTTTTAGTTATTTTATTATGTTTTAGATTATATTATATAGTTAAACAGAATAAAAATATTAAAAATGTATTAATATAGAAATATTTTAAATATATTAAAATTATGAATTATGGTTAGTTTTATATTTTTTTAACCACCTTCGGCTTCGGTTTACGCCGAAGGTGATCCGCAGACCGAAGTTCGGCTTCGGCTTCGGACAAAAAAATCGCCTTCGGTCGGTCTCTAGTTACGCTAGTGCATTTGAGGTTATGTAGGCTGGGGAGTTTGAAGTTTTATCTGATTTTCAGTATATACGTTATTACATTGAAAAATTTCTAAAATCTACCACATAATAGAGCCATTATAATGTTCATTTTAAATCTTACACACGGATACTAGAGAGGATAAATTGCCTAAGGAAAGACACGTATTTGTCTGATGCCGATATCTACTGTCGCTAGGGAATCTAAAGCACATTTCTACAGAACACGTGAAAAATGTGAACGCGCCGCAATTTTTATGTTGATCAATCTGCAATCAAATAACGACAAATTATTATCACGTACTTTGCAAACTGCTGATTCCCAAAGTTTTTCATTTAACTCACGTTTTGCCATGCTTTGTCGGTTTAATATCATCCAATATTTCCGCTTGCCACTTGTCTGAACTGTCAAAATTGGAGTTGCTTACTCCTTGATGCCAGCAACATAGAGGAATTCAAGTATGATAGAGATACCTCAGCGGAATCTGAAGTTTCCCGCGAAGTGTACATATACGAGGCAGATGCCATATACGCAGCTCCTGAAATTCATTTCCTGCGAAGTGTACTTACGAGTTAGCCCCGCCTTCATCGTCGACACTTTCGGCTTCACCCTCACTCTAATAGTTTAACTTCCTATTTCTAGTCTTCATGATTTTACGTTCAAAATGGCATGTACTAAGACTCAAAACGCTGACTGCTAAAAACTATTAAAAAATCAGAATCTATGGATTCCGTAGACACTTGTACTTTTTCTTACACCACAAAATGTTGGGGCCCTAATCTCCACATTAAACCAAGAAATATTTCATACAAAGAAATCCATGTTTCACTGTCGAGTTGAGTGCAATGTATAGGAGAGAGAACCGCGGGAAGTGTTTAAAAGCATATATGCTAGAAAGAGATAGTAGACGGCTGGCTAGCGAAGCTCATCATCACGCTGCCTACCTATGCCGACGCGGCAATCTGCCGCGTTGCCGATATGTTACACCAGTTCCTTGAACTTTATTATCTACGCCCAAATACTGGTTTTATTTCGTCTGTACATATTTCTGAATAGTGAATTATGCCAAATCTATTTAGAATCCATTCCGTATCGGTCCTGACGGCGCTACATTTCAGGTCGAAATGAATGGTCGGGATCGCCATAAATGCTGCAACATTGCATCATTGGTTCGCTTGACAACACCACATCTAGTACAAGGCAAGGTTTCCAAATCCTTGATCATAGATGAGCAATTTTGGTCAGTCCACATCTAACGCCTATAAGGGAGTGTCGTCCTGCTTCGAAATTGTTTTCTCCTGCGTACACCTAGGCAGTGATAATTTGTATAGCGTAACATTATTGTATACGTTTTCTGTCGGTAAAGGTAACAATAACTCAGGGTGTGTTGATCATAGGTGGGAATCAAAGTTAATTCTAAAAGAATTTAAAACAGTAAATTACATAAAAAATTAAATAAATAGATAATGCTAATCAGAATGAAAACAACATATTGAATAAAATTTGACAGTAACCGACCCTAATGTAGCAGCCTGTGCAAACATTTTATAGCACGGTAGGAGTCACCGAACGGCATGCTGCTATTATTTTCAGCCACAACTCCTGCAAAGTGATAGCCCTTGCATGGAGGTAACCGTAGTCTTCACATATTCCCACAAAAATATTATTCGGCGCCAAAAATTCTCGGACCAGTGCCACTACTTACCTGAGAGAGGGAGGGAGAGAGAGAGAGAGAGAGAGAGAGGGAGAGAGAGAGAGAGAGGGAGAGAGAGAGAGAGAGGGAGAGAGAGAGAGAGGGAGAGAGAGAGAGAGAGAGGGAGAGAGAGAGAGAGAGAGGGAGAGAGAGAGAGAGAGATAATTAAAAAAAGAAAAATATCCCCAATGGACATAAATATATTTATTATATCAATCCCATTGAGGTTAGCTACAAAAACGATTTTTTCTGTTTATATGCTTATACCAGGTGAGTACACAACATTCTGCTTAATAAACCCTTTAAAACAAAATTATAGAATGCCTAATCTTAACAAACTTTGAGTAAATATTCAATTCACTTGACTACAATCCAAAAGCACTGTTTCTTATCACAATACTTCTGGCGCCATCAGACTGTGGTCCGTGGTAAGGTAGCGCTAAAATGGTGTCGTCGTTCCACCGCCCTCTACTGGATTACATGCTAAACACCTATTTTAGCATGTAGATATAGACTACTTAATTCTTTCACGACTGAAAAATATAACTTTAATGGTCTTGCTTACCGTTTTCAATAAACCACTAAAATAGTCAGTCTGTCGCCACTCTGAAAGCATACGGTACGAGTACAAAGTCCCCCGACCGGAGAGCAGACCAGCGACACATTTATGTGATAAAACTACTTTTCAGAATGATGTGAGCTGAATAAATATAATCTCTGATGATTTCCGAACTAACAGTATGACATGCATAACATTATTGGACAATTTTTTTGATTGTTTTTGCCAGGTTTTGTTCCTCACTGGCCCACTGTGCCCTTCCCCCTGCAATCGCCTATGTTGCTTCAAGTACTATACTTCTCTCGGAGGGATTTGAAATTTTATGGTATTCTCATCCAATTTTTCCGCTCTTATAATTGAGGAGGTATCCGTTTTCAATGCCAGCTACAAAATTTCAAACAATAGGTTGATTTGCAGGTGGTATATTTTTTTTAAAAATCAACCTTCTAGTTCTGGTTTGACTCAAGAAATAAAACATTGAATAGGAAAACATCTAGCGATTTTTATTTTCAGGAATTAGCTGAAAATGGCGTCGACATCAGACAGCCCGGTGGAGGAGGTTATGTTCGAAATTGAACCGTCCCGAGTGCCGAAACCTGTACCAGTGGCTTTGGAGGATCTCTGTCGGCTCACCAAGTTCACCAGACAAGAGATTAGGATTATGTACAGGGGGTTTAAGACGGTGAGTGATAAAATTAGAAATATAATAAATAAATAATTTTCTGTATAACGTGAACATTTTGCATATGTCATTGTAAAGTGCGTCTTGAAATGTACACGGGATTTGATTTAAATACAAATTTTGCGTGATGGCCCATTTATAATTGGACAAGTACGGCTCGGAATTTGATGAAAATTTCACACAAGGATACTACTATGAGAAAAATAATATAGCTTTGTAGTTTTTGAAAATCAGTTCAGTGGCAGCGGGGATAGAGGTAAAAACATGAAAAACTGCTCGAACTTCTTTTCTTGACGTTTCAGAGGCTCCTGATCATTTTCAGAAACAATTTTGTAGCTGTGAAATATTGGAAATTGGGGAAGGGTATATTTAAATTTTATCATGTTTGCATGTTTATATGCCCCAACCGTGACAGTTCTACGCAACAATTAGCCATATTTCACATATCATAGATTTCCCTCCGTACATTTTTCTTTACACTTTGATAGAAAAATGTAATCGATAGCGTCTCCTTCTGCCCACCGCCCGGTGTACCGGTATGTTGTCTGTTCTGCCCGTACTGCAGCGTTCATGTTCGTAACTAATTTTTTCCTCAGAGGGTTTAACTTGTGCTGAACTGAGCGAATCCACATACTTTCAGAATTCCTATCCGGAATATCCCAGTAATACTTAAACTAGAAAATCGTATCTCACATTTTGTGTTTGTTATACAGGGTGGCGCATCGAAAACGAAACAGACGCATTTACTGGCAGTTGAGTTTTTTTTTGGAAAAACGCTCAGACCCGCCGATTTTGTTTTCGAGGGGGACACAAGTTTGCAAAAAATCACGTTTACACGTGCAGCCCCCTGGGCGGGAGTGACAGCAACCCTAAAATCTTAAATGGAAAGGGGGGTCGAGTGATACCTTATTTCAAAGGTCTTTCAATTCCCTTTGTAATGATGTAAAATACATGAACTTCAGTTCAGTAGTTTTGAAGATTTATTGATTTAAAGCTTAAAGTAGACTTTAATAGGTACATTAGATTAGTTTGTACTATACTAAGTGACATATAAATCCGAACACCCAGTTTAAATGGTTTTATTTTAATAAAATTTTGTATAAGTACTTAATGAAGCATAATAAGTAAATGATAAAAATTTCAAAATGATTGCACTGCTTTAAAGCACTTTGACCTTTAATAATGTGTGGATGCACCCTGATGTGCTACACATTCTCCAACACGCCTAGGCATGCTGCTGATCAGGTGGTCAATGTCCTCCTGTGGTATCTCATTCCAGGCAACCACCAACTCCTCTCGAAGTGCTTCTAGAGTCTGAGGAGGACGTTGCAAATTGAGCAATCTCCTACCCACACGTGCTCAATTGGGGATAAGTCGGGAGATCTTGGTGGTCATGGTAACAATATGACATCATTATGTTGAAAGAAGTCTATTGTGACTCTTGCAATATGTGGTCGGGCATTATCTTGTTGGAAAGTTGGATCTGCCAGGGTGTCAAGATAGGGTAAAAGATGGGGTTCTAGAACTTCGTGGATATAACGCTGCGCGTTCATGTTACCTCTGATGAAGATTAAAGGTGACCTGGAACCATAAGCTATAGCACCCCAAACCATAACTCCAACAGTGTGATGAACATGTCTTTCAACAAAAAACTGTGGATTCCTCCTTTCACCACGTCGCCTTCTAACCCTGGCACGGCCATCGTGCATGCCTAAACAAAATCGAGACTCGTCACTAAAGACAATACTGTTCCATTCCTGATCCCAGAGTGACCGTTGTCTGCACCACTCCAGGCGATTACGTCGGTGTTCTCGAGTTAAAGGGAGGACCCAGTATGGCCGGTATGAAAACAAGCCAAAACCTCTCGTTCGTCGGTAAACACTTCGCATGCCAATAGGTCTTCCGTGTTCTGCAAACCATTCATTTGCAATGGACCTGGTAGTGGAGAAACGGTCCCTTAAGGCCAATAATCTTAGGCGGCGATCTTCACGGTCTGTTGTTCTACGGCGGCGTCCAGTGCCCCTTGCTCTTTGCGTACGGCCTTCTCGAAGCCATGTCTGACAACACCTAACCACAGTGTCTACACTTCTTTGCACTCTAACTGCAATTGCCCGAAAAGAAAGTCCAGCTTCCCGAAGTCCCACTATACGGCCCCTATCAAACTCACTAAGTTGACGAAATCGTACAGGTCTCCGTACTTTAGGCATCGTAACCGATCGTAAAGGATGTCAAGAACCAAATTCCGCCAACGTTGATTCTTTACTGCGGCTGAAATATTCATTTTTAAGGGCGTTAGTGAATTAAAAAAAAGCAGTATAAAAACCGGAATGTCCAACTGATAAGGCTGAAAATCTTTTCACTTCTTATTTACAGTAAGATAAATACATTCACCAACTTTTATTAAAATAAAACCATTTAAACTGGGTGTTCGGATTTATATGTCACTTAGTATAGTTTCAGAAGAAATTTGACTAAAAGAATTTACTTAATAAGTAAATGCCTTTCTTCACTACGCCCATGGTTTGTTTATCATTTTGTTGTTGAAAATAACTATTGGAGCGTTTTTTTGTGGCAAAAAAGTTATTTCTTGAAGAAAGATAAGGAAATATCTTGTACTTATTTTAAATAGGAATTTAGCACATAGTTTGCGATTGATTTCATCAAACTTTGTTGCTAAAATAATTTGTAACGCTTTATTACATAAATGAACCATGGTATCTTCCACAGCAGAAAGAGTTGAAATTATCGAAATATTTTCGGAAATAATCAGTGCGCTAATAGAACAGCAGAAATATTTAATGAGCGACATGAGAACAGTAACGTGCATCGAAAATATGTTCTAGAACTCGTAGCTAAATTTCGGGAAACTGGATCAGTCGCCAATAAAAAACGCAACATTGAAAATCCCACAAGGTACGAAGCAATAGAAGTGGGGGTTTTAGACGTACTGTCCAACGGATTCTAAAGGCCCATAGTTTTCATCCGTATATAATTCACCTGCTACAAGAACTTAATGAAGACGATTTTGATCGGCGATTACAATTTTGTGAAGATATGAGTGAACGAATTATAAACGATGAACATTTTCTATTCAACACTTGCTTTTCCGACGAATGTTCCTTTTTCTTAAATAGCGTAGTAAATCGTCATAACTGCCGATATTGGTCCGATTCTAATACCAGAATTTATCATGAGGTTCATACACAGCAGCCACAAAAATTAAATGTTTGGGCTGGTATTCTTGGCGATCATTTAGTTGGTCCTTTTTTCTTACCTGGAAATTTGACCAGTGAAATGTATTTGGAATTACTGGAAGACGCCATAGATCCAGCATTAACAGCCATAATTGAAAATCAGAATGATCGGCGGTACATTGCGAATAGGTTGAGGTTCCAACAGGATGGTGCCCCACCACATTACGCATTACGTGTTCGACAATATTTAGATCAGACGTTTCCAGATCGATGGATCGGTACAAGAGGTGCCATTGAATGGCCCCCAAGATCGCCAGATTTATCACCTTTGGATTTCTTTATGTGGGGTCATTTAAAAAGCGAAATCTATGCTACTCAGCCAACATCATTAGAAGACCTGCGGCAAAGAATTGTGAATGAGTGCCTTAAAATTACTCCTCAAATATTGCAAAATGTGCGGCAACGTTTTGAGCAAAATCTTTATTATTGCAGGGAGAGTCATGGTGGCCATTTTCAACATTTACTTGCCTAACGGGTCAGTTCATTCTTCATTTTTAAATTACTTTGCTGCCAAATGTATTGATCTCCACTAATGATGATGTATTAGTTTTATTTAAGCTTTAAATCAACAAATCATCAAAACTACTGAACTGAAGTACATTAATTTTATATCATTATAAAGTGAATTGAAAGACCTTTAAAATAAGGTATCACTCGACCCCCCTTTCCATTTAAGATTTTGGGGGTAGTGTCACACTCGCTTAGGGGGCTGCATGTGCTAACGTGATTTTTTGCCAAACTTGTGTCCCCCTCGAAAACAAAATCGACGGGTCTGAGCGTTTTTCCAAAAAAACTGAGCTGCCAGTAAATGCGTCTGTTTCGTATTCGATGCGCCACCCTGTATAATTACAACAGGATGAGAAGTATAAATTGGTTTATATTCTGTTTTTGAAAATCATTTGTTCATAGATGTGATATGTTTGGTCTATTATAACTCAAAAGCAGTTGATTAAAGGTGCGAGGTTCTCGATCAGCAGGACCTAAGCACGTTGTCTAGTAGTTTCAAGAACTTTGACTGTGAATTGTGGTCCTATGGCGTCACGAGGAACCAGCTTAGCTGTATTCAACTTGGCCTTCAAAAACAACTGAGCAGAAATGTTTTCCTCTCTTTAAGCTGCATTTTCCTATGCAGGTGCTTCTGCCTAAAAATAACTGGTACAATTAAGAAAATTTCATCAATTTGAATGACTCTATACTTCCCACAGCTTCTATACAATCTCTAGTACAATTTTTCATGTACTTAAAGGCATGGCATCAAAAAGACGCGGATTTTGTCACAACAATGCACTATTTGGGCATTAAAAAACCATCAGATTGCAGTAATGAGCGTTTCCGGACACGGTAGCCTTATATCTCATGCACAAAACTGTTTGTCAACAACGTTTGATACCTCGCGAAATCAAGTAACACCATTAATTTACACTACAAAGTATATGTTAATATCGCACTCACCTCGTATATGCACATCGCATCCCCCCGCCGTCCGCTACCTGCTTTTATAAGTACCTTGAACCCACTATCATCAAAGATGCAATATTTACAACCCTGTGGCAAGTGCAAGCGATAGGTACCCGACCCGTTGGCTCTAAATATTTTCAAGGGCAAATGTAAGAAGAAATTTATATATATATATATATAAACTAACATCAAAAAATTTAGATTCACCCTCCACTACCCCCATTTCACAACTATTTTTTTTTTCAAAAATGATAAGGATCCTCTGAAACGTCAAAGTTTGATCGATTT